ATCGTATGAAGGGAAACAGCATGATACTTTAAAAAAAAATTTAAGCTTACAAAGAGATTATAAAATGTATTCACGTGGACTCAATCGTGCTGAAGACCAACTATTGCATACTATAAATTACCGAACGTTTAAGAACATCAACACAATAACAAGAAGGGCATAAACACCCGACAGTTTGCTATCGAGAGGATACTCTTTACATTTAAATAATGTGTGATTTATCATCAACTAAATAGTTTTTAACCATTTAAACGCCAGACAAAATGATACGCTAATTCAATATACCGGAGTTGCATCCACCTAGTTGTACCAATACAATAACTTCAAGATACTTAATGTATTTTTTTATGTCATCATATTTTGATTTCGAAACAACTTCTCGTTAGTGGCGTTCAAAAGTAAATAAACGGTAGATCTAAACATCCCTTATTGATAACGACTTCCTTTTCTCGATTGTGAAATTGTGTTAGATTCCTCTTGTAGACTTACCAACTTGTATCCCTGATTTTATTGCATATTATTTTTTTATTGAAAAAAATAAGGATCTTTTACAAGCAAATAAGTTATAGAGTTCGGAGTTAGGTCTTTAAATTGGTCTGCAAGCATCCTCTCAAAGGTGTAAATCAGATCATTGTTGATGAGATATCTGATTGACATGACTGAAGAGGAACATAACTATGAGAATTTTTCAATTTTGAATATCAACGAAAGTCACTTTTAAAATTTATTCTCTCAAATTGTTGATAAGTGACTTCGTTATCAATTATAATGGTATGAATTCCATAAATCTGAACGACATATATATTTTGGATTACGTGTTATTCCAATATCTTACATTTGTAATTAACACTATGAAATGAAATGTAAATCATAAGAAGGTGGTGAGTAGTACTACAAAACTGGTCTTCCACTTACCCCGCTCCCACACACACGATACATGTGTTTGTGTACATGTATGAATAAAGGTCATTTGGTACATGAATAATTACTATTCCGACAACAATTAATTACAAAAGCACAACAATAACTATCTTCACTTTAAAACAAAACAAATGGGTCTCAACTATGATCTTACGACGATGTTACATATATGTACACATAAATTTGTATTTCATTGAATACGAATTCTTTTTGCAGCAACAATGTTACTATAATATTATGGATTTGATATCACATATATATGACAAGGCATCTACATCTATCTTCAAATTTCCAAATCGATTAAATAAAATACAATATCTTTGCTAACATTTTTATCAATTGTTGCCGAATTGAAGTCTAGGTAGTGTAGTAATTAATATTAAAAACACATTCTAGATAAACCCTTATCCCTATCAAACCGCAATTACACGAAATGGTAATAATTAAATAAATACAACATTACTGCCGAAAAGGTTTAATATTTTGATGAGTGTTACAAATTAACGGGAATTGGGATCAGTGATATGGATCATTCAATTATTTCTGTAACATTGATATTACACTCGTATTTAACACTGTAATAGTCATTGCCTGGTATCTTTAACCTATCCTGTCTCTTAGGATATTTTAAATGTCATATCATAATTGTGCAGAACTTGGCGAGCACTTGTTAATTGTAACATAGAGAGTTAAAAGTAGGCTACATGAAAGAAAATTACATAGATTAAATAATCACGATAATTTGTAAACGTTATGCACGTTATCTTTATTATCTTGCAAAAAAAAATGTTAAGTAGATAAATAGTATATAAAAATTACTTAAAAATTCCGACATAACCTCACGAACATAGTTAAACATTATCCCATCATGAGACAAATTATAAAGAATATGTACTTCATTATAAACGTGACCTGTTTCTCCTATACTGTCGAAGGTGGAGGCAAGCATTATACATTATTAGTTATATTAAATGTTCTAAATAACAGGTACGATATCACATCAGAGTTTGAACACGATGTTGTATTAATGTGACTTGTGATGATAAGTGATTCTCTCTATCATACTTTGAACGACAAAATTATTTTATATCTACGTGTGTGACGTCAAACGCGCGATTCTACGCCAGTACTTAAAACCTTCCATCCTTTATGGGTGGATTTTACATAGATAAATAAAATCGTATAATAAAAAAGCAAAATGAGGATGTTAAATTTGATGTATGCCTTTTTGTGCTTCTTTTTTGCATTTGTTTGTTCTTATAGTGATTAAGATGATAACACAATGTTGACTGCTGTACCCCTATTTTTGGCATTTTTACCTATTGTGTCTGTTTGTTTTGATCACGCATCGTTGTCAATATCTACAAGTGAGGGGTTTAGCTAGCCATAAAACCAGGTTCAATCTACCATTTTCTACATAAGAAAATGCCTGTACCAAGTCAGGAATATGACAGTTGTTATCCATTCGTTTGGTGTGTTTTAGCTTTTGATTTTGCCATTTGATTAGGGACTTTCCTTTTTCTAATTTCCTCGGAGTTCAGTATTTTTGTGATTTTACTTTTCACTTGCAACTCAATCAACATTCTGACTCAATTGCAATGTGTTTTATCAAATCAAACTGTTCAACTGGTCAGAAATTTCAACCAACTGCTGTAGAAAATCACAGTCAAGTCATCAAAGTGTAAAGTGATAAAATAAAAACACTTATACAAATCAATAAGATTTGAATTCATTTTCATGACGATTTTGAAAATGTTGCCTAAACTTTGTACGGATATACTCATTGTTAAGGATAATCTGAACGGCAAGATAGTAATTTTTGAATAGCTGTAACAAATGTCCAGTTTGAGTTTTTGAATTATGATCTCTTTTGAAATGTTGTTATCTATACATGCCTCAAACTGTCTTCAAATGTAGACTTAAAATGCTCAGTTAAATATATAATTAGCTAAAATATGTTTTCATGAATTTGTAAAGGGAAATAAATCAATAAAATTTCATATCATCAGATATTAGAATATCTCCCCTTGGAAACCTATTAACAACATGTGGTAACTTTACATTTATTTTACTGAATATTACATGTTTTAATTTTAACTGATGTCAAATTTTTATAAATATTTAACAATTTTTAAAACGAATAGTAGGAAAACTTAGTTTGGACATTTTATAGCAATTCAAAAAATAACCATCTTTCACCATTCACATGACTCAATACAAAACAATATGAATCGAAATTTTACTGAGGCAAGTTTTATATTAGCCATGAAATGGAATTTTAGTTTTAATGGTTTGTAAAAGAGAGACGAAGGATACCAACGGGACATTCACAATCATAAGTCGAAAATAAATATGCTTCTTTTTATCACGCTGATGACTTGAATGTGTTCTTCTACAAAAGTTGGTTAAGATTTCTGACCAGTTGAACAGATTGATTTGATAAAACAAATCGTAATTTGGTCAGAATTTTTAATGAACTGCAAAAGGTGAAGAGTAACACTTAAAATCAACTCACAGTTATTTTTCGCAAACAGTATATTTAGATTCTGAAATTGAAATCAAAGTTATTGCTTTACTATCTGTTGTGCTTTGCTTTGAAAACTCAAGGTTCGTGTCGCATGATTCGTTTGTATTTGAATGATTTTATTCCAAAAACACGTGTTATGCACAAAAAAATTTGGTATCATTTGTTTTTATTTAACCACTGGATAATCCAACGGGTTTTGCACGCAAAACAGAATATGTTTTCACTTCCGGGGTGTTGTGGAAGTTTGTATTTAATAATAGAGTTTGTCAGACGTAAATGGCATTACGTACTTGTAAAATGAGTTTTTTTCTTCTCACAAAGTGAAAACTAAATTTACTTCAACCTTTTTTTCAACTCTTACGCAAGGGATTTGGAAGTAATGAAACGATACAGATGAAAAACTTTCCTGAAAAAGAGAGAAATGTACAAATAGGAATCTGCACTAAAACCTTAAGCTTTAAAAATATCTCAGATGATTTGTGTTAAGATAAATAATAAAAAAAAAACCACAAAGGTTGATAACAAAGCTCCTAAGTAAAGTTTCGCTGATGTCTGTTTTCAAATGATGGATTTAAAAAAGAAAGGTTATCACTCGTGAACAAAGCGAAGTACTAACGTGACTCGTATCTTATACAGTTGAAGATCACCACATTCTAAAAGAAGGTTGGAATATATAAGATTAATACCACTGGATCGATGCCACTGCTGCTGGAGGTTTACTTCTTAAGGGTATCACCAGCCTAGTAGTCAGCACTTTTGTGTTGACATCAACTATCATTAAAATGGTCATTATTGTAAATTACTTGTTTATAAAGTTTGAATTTTTCGAAATGCTAAGTATTTTATACCCTAGGAATAGATTACCTTAGTTGTTTTTCGCAAGACCTTTCGGAGTTTTTGGTCCTCAATACTCCTAAACTTCATACTTCATTTGGTCTTTTTAACTTGTATTGATTCATGCGTCACTGATGAGTCTTTTGTAGATGAAACACGCGGTACTATTGTTATCTTATAGTTCGTTTCTGTGTGTGTTGCATTTTAGTGTTTCTGTTGTGTCTTTGTTCTCCTCTTATATTTGATGTGTTTCCCTCAGTTTTAGTTTGTAACCCGGATTTGTTTTTTCTCAATGGATTTATGAATTTCGAACAGCGGTATACTACTGTTGCCTTTATTTGTCGTACACAATTTTAATCCTGGTATCTATGATGAGTTTATATATATATATAGAAATTTGAATTTATTCAGTGTTCCATTTCAATCTTTAAACTTTAACCACTTAAGAGATATTGAAATACAAAGGAGTTGATCTAAACAACATTGTCTACTTGAATTTGTAAGTTCTTGTTTTCATATAGCCGTTTGGGGTTCTGAGTTAAATAAATGAAATAAAAATAAAAGTAGGAAAATTACATCTGTATACCTGACGAGAAACGCTAATTATAATTATATAAGTGATAAATAAAAAAAAATTAAAAAAAATAGTATGATACCTGTCTCGATGGATACTATAACAATGTAACATTTGTAATGTATCGGTATTTCTGTATTTCAGGAATTATTCATGACCAATGTTCAACATGGATAGAATTTGACATATCCTATCATTACAAGTATCCGAATGATAACTCAGAGATAAAATATGAATGTTTAGAAACTCCAGAAGGCGATATGTACTTTGAAAAACTCACAAGTGGTAAGTAAAGAAATTCTTTTATTGGAAATTGTTAACAGTGCAATGTTAGAACAAACGTAATACAAAATATCTTTTTGATGATGTTAATGAGTGTCATTCATCAATTCTGCTCTTTGATGACCTAATAAAGAGAAGGATATCAAGTGCAATGTCTATTCGGATTTTTTGGTTTTAGCTATATAAGATCATGTATAGCTGGTAGTTATAAAAGAACCGTCAACAAACAAGGAAATAACTTTCATTGTGTTTACCAAGATAACTTTGTTACGACGAAACATTAACAATCTACTGTCAATCATTTCATAAAATACATATTTTGTTTTATACATTTTCAATTCAAGTTAAACCATATCCGAGTAAATGGTTCAATCGTTGCGTAATATTGTATTGCGAAACGCAACCAATAATTTTCTGCTTTGAACATTGTCACAAGAGCTACATGTGCATTTTAGTGCTTTTATCTGAGAATTAAATCTCTTATACCAGCATAGGAATTATAGTTTCTCTACAAGAATCAAGTTTTGCTTTCTCACATGATCTGCATTCAATTAATTTAAATTAAGACAGTGGATGTACTTGTGACATACGACGGGTGTCACCAGTGATGCAGGATAGTCCTGAACTCATCTTTGGAATTTGGTAGGGATCTTGTGCTCTATTTATCTTCAAAGAGTTAAATTGACTTTTGAATATCAGTACTTTTTGTTTTCTTCTTTCCATTGTGTAGTCGTATTTACCTAATTTTTAAAATAACCTAAATACAGAAACATATTTTTTTCAACATTGCGTAAACTACCGTTTCCATATTTCAATCATTAATGCAATCATGTAGAAACAAAATAACAGAAAAAGACAAGATGTTAATTGGTGAGATAATAAAAATTATTATAATAGATAAATACCTGTTGACATATCACGAATTCACCAACATTCCAACTGACTCCATTTTCGGAAAATGACATCTGTAACAAACATAAACTTTTAGCTACCTCTTTACAAGCAGAACCAAATACAATGAATGTTCCAACTATGTACTGGCTTCCGAAGCTGCATAAAACTCCATACAAATATAGATTTATTTCGTCTTTAAGCCATTGTTCCACTACTAAACTATCTATTCTACTTACTAGTACACTTGGTACAATCAAAAACCTGGTAATAAATTGTTCAAATAAGGCCTTTGAAAATAGTGGAGTTAATTACTTTTGGAGTGTAAAAAATTCGTTGGGAAGTACTTGATAAATTGCATGCTTATATTGGTGATTTCGAATCTGTTCAAAGTCTTGATTTTTCTACCCTATATACCACGTTGCCTCATAATCTTATTAAGAAAAAATTCACACACCTGATTAAATGGGCATGTAAAAAGTCGGAATGCCAATATATATGTTCAAACTCTTTTAGGTCATTTTTTAGTAACAACAAACAAAAGAGCTATATCAATTGGACCTGCTTTGATACTATAACTGCCCTTGAATTTTTACTAGAGAACATTTTTGTTCGCTATGGAGATTCCGTATATCGTCAGGTTATCGGAATTCCCATGGGGACTTACTGTGCACCACTTATTGCGGACCTGTTTCTGTATTGTTATGAGTTACAATTTATGACTAAAATCAGCAAAGACCCATCGAAACAACATCTGATTCAAAAATTTAATAACACTTTTAGATATTTAGATGATATATTGGCTCTCAATAATGACGACTTCAGTATGTACACTAAAGAGATTTATCCTGCTGAACTGACTTTAAATAAAGCTAATACTAACAATGAACACTGCCCTTTCCTGGATCTTGATATCTTTATCTTTAACGGGAAGCTTAATACCAAAATTTATGATAATAGAGATGATTTTTCATTTCCTATTGTTAATTATCCATTTTTAGATGGTGACGTTCCCTTGTCGCCATCTTATGGTGTTTATATATCTCAACTTGTTCGATTCGCTCGTGTATGTAACAGCGAATTTGATTTCAACGAAAGAAATCTCTGTTTTACTGAAAAATTGTTACACCAGGGTTTTCGATATCACAAACTAGTCAAAACATGTACTACATTTTATCATCGGTACAAGGACATCATTCGTAAATATAAATCAACATGCAGACATCTTATACGTTCAGGTATTTCACATTCAATATTTTATAGTAATATTCTTTACAAAGCACAAAAATGTCGGCATTCACATCAAAAGCTAACCAAACCTTTAAACAGACTTATTCGGAAAGGATATAGTTACGATACTGTTGTCAAGTCATTAAGGATTGCATATTTTGGTATTAATATTGATTCACTCATAGGGTCTTTGCATCGGAAATAAACACATTTATTCTAAAACCAGTTGTTGGCATGATGCGGGTTATGTTCTTCTCATATATTTTATGATGGTATAATACTAAACCCCTAACGAGAGGGACTGTACTTGATTTTCATATGATGAAGACATAATCTTTCAATCAGTTTAATTGAGGGCTGGAGCTGGCATGTCAGTAACTGCTAGTAGTCCTTTGTTCATTTATGTATCATTGTTATTTTGCTTAGTTTCTTTTGTTACCTATTTTCACATCGGAATCGGACTTCTTTTAAACTGAGTTTTACTGTGCGTATTGCTATGTGTTTGTTTATTCTACATTGGTTAGAGGTATAGGGGGAGGGTTGAGATCTCACAAAACATGTTTAACCCCGCCGCATTTTTGCGCCTGTCCCAAGTGAGGAGCCTCTGGCCTTTGTTAGTCTAGTATGTTTTTTAATTTTAGTTCATTTATATGTTTTGGAGTTTAGTGTGACGTTCATTTTTACTGAACTAGCACACAATTTTAGTTTAGCTGAGGACCACCTCCGGGTGCGGGATTTTCTCGCTGCATTGAAGACCTATTGGTGGCCTTCGGCTGTTGTCTGCTCTTTGGTCGGGTTGTTGTCTCTTTGACATATTCCCCATTTCCATTCTCAATTTTAAATGTAAATTATAGTACTTTACATTTTACAAAATTGACATTCATTTTAAATGACAAGTGTCTCATTGTAAATAGATAACGGAGATATACGATTCACATGTTTACTGCATTAGAACTATAGAGATAGTCATATAAGAAGCCCACATAATGCATTACATAATCTGTGTTTTAAAAGTCGAAGATGCATTAAAATGGTTCTATTAAGTGTTGAATCTCAAGTAACTGCAGAATTGTTTTCCAAATGATTTCACTTTTAAACAGATAATAATGAATGAAATACAAAACTTTTCATTTTAAAAGTCGCTGTCGTTAGGTTTTATCTGTAGTGCTGATGATACAGACTCCATTCAAGTACATTATTTATTCCATTTCCTAACGCCAATTCGGAAAATGCAAATATGATATCCCCTTTTCTGTAGATTGTGGTTCAGTGTTGATTATTTTATTCATTTAAATGTAATTTTTATTAACTGGTATTTCTAATTGCTTTCTTGTATTATACATTAGAACTATTGCTAGTATTCATCAGACTTCTATAGGTATATTTTGTAAACAGAATCCCATTGAATTACCAATTTATTATGGCGAATAAGCATCTGTCCACAGAAATGCGTTCTACAATAGAACTACTGAATTCCTACGAGAAAGGTGATTCTGAAAAAATTTCGAAAAATGGCCAATACAGCATTTTAAAAGAAAACACAGCAATTTATTTTAGTCTGCAAAAAAACCAATTATTAATCAATGAATGATAATGAGCAGATATTTTCCATTAGGTTTTATAATGGAGAATATTGGGGAAAATACTTAAAAAGGGGTACCAGGAATCGCCAAAAGTGCTACAGAGCACACAAACATACAGCAAAGATCAACATCAATCACCAGCACCCAAATCCAAAGAAAAAACAACAACGAACAACATATGGTCCCCTTTGACTTATCTAGGTCATGTCGAAAAATAAAATAAAAAGCAGAGAACAAACCATGCAGCTAACAACAGGCACCATTAAGGTAGCAAAAGTTAGTTGGATACTGCAGCTGAAAAAAGAAAAAAATAGGAAAAAAATACATCCAAACATTTCATTAAGTCTCAGCAGAACATTTACCTGAAATCGACAAAAATTGTGAGAGGCCATTAAGTATTGAAAATAGTCAGATAAAAACATTAAGGTTAAAGTACGATTCCACAAGCAGTATATTAATAAGAATATGTATTGCATACCCAACTTTATTCGGTAATATTGATTATAAAGCTAACGAGTTTAAGAGTTGGCCTTTAGTTCTTTCTTTTTGGCTTAATACACTTATTGATAAAAGTTGTAAGTACACAGTGTTGTTGTGCACTATTACGTCTAATGTATTTAGGATGAAAATCAAGTTAGCTATTCTTTAGTTTGAAACCAGATTAATATTCTCCTTTTTATTAACTGCAATAAAAAGAATCTGTTCGGGTTTGTTCTGGGCATTGCACAAGAACATATCTCCCTGTTCTGTTCATGTTTTTGTTGCCGTTAGAAGTACAAACGCCAATAATAGAAAAGGCATGATTTCATATCACTAATTAAGAACGTTGATTTTTCTGAAGGATTATAAGAGTTATCAAAAATATTGGACAGTGCAACATTACAACACCACATATTCCGAGGGTGGACCATGAAGTAAAATTCAGACGCTGTGAAATTATCAATGAATACGAAAATAGTAACATGCTTGATTTCTGTTTTATTGACCTCTTATTGATGGACTGGAGTTGAAACACGGGTCAATTTTAATTTGGTTAACTCAAAAGTTATATCTTGCGAGCCAATGCTGACTAACATTTTCTATGACCAGGTAAAGAAAAACATTGCTTTAGAAACAAAGAGAAATCAATAAATACATAAAAATTCCAAACTATTCATTCTTTCTCTTTTCGCAGTTATAAAAAAAAACCCAGATTATCATATTACAGTCTTAATCTTAAAACAAACTATATCATTGATTACATTTTTACTGAATTTCTCTGGAGAGCTACATTTGTACAATAAAATCATCATTGTTAGTACTGCAGTGGAATAATAAACATACTTACAATCCTATAGTTTTATTATGACAATTTAACTGACGATATGCAACTACACAAGTAAAATTTAAAGAAGAAGAGTAAGAGAGAAAATATTTAGATTTCAATGAAATTGTCCAATCATAAGTGTCATGTTATACTTTTGAAAAATATCTTCGGTTTGAATGAGAGAAAAATTTCATTAGAAAGATAAGTGCAGGTGGTATGTTTAAAAACACAATGACTGCATTAAATTGCATACACTTCAAATTGAATTGGACTAGTTCTTTGACGTTGTAAGCATTTTCTGCTCTGCTAACATCACCAATCATAACATTAGAAAGTCTAATCAAGAAGGAAGTGTCATAGCCAGGAACTTGACAGAACCGGTAATAATGTTTGATTGGCAATTATAGAATATTACATCACCATGTATGATAGACTTACAATGTCTCTCCTTAGTGTAGACACTGCAGCGATCAACCATTCATGGTGTAGCCGAAGCAATTGTAAGGTGCTAATTTCAGTTGTATTCTGCTTTTAGTTTCTGGGTTATTTGTTTTTGGTTTATGGAATACCTAGGATATATATAAGGATATTTAAAGTTCGTTAAGCTTGTTTTCAGTACACTGGCACAGGAAAATTAGTCTGAAACAGTCATTTTGATCTTAAAATCATCTGTAAAGGCTGAAAATTAATTATTCGGAAAGCCGTACGTTGACCTATAGTTGTAAAACAATTCACTTGCGGTCTATTGAGTACTGTTCAGTAGCGTTTCAGACAACTCAGTAATATGTTGATGTGTACAGGTAAATAAAAACAACTGAAACGTCTGAAAATTGACTGAACAAATCTTAATACATTGCAAGCGAATTGTCTGAACAGTACTGAATGTACCGCAAATTCTACGGAAAGATTGAAAATGACTTAATTATTTATTGTTCACTCTTTTAAGGACTGTTCAGATTAAAATTACCGTTTCATATTAGTTTTTGTTCTTATGTTCTTCTAAGTACCTTTTGTTATTTCACTTTTTAAAATTCAATGGGAAATCATAGCATAGTTTATGTTCTAATGTTCTTCAAAGTACCTTTTGTTATTTCACTTTTCAAAATTCAAAGGGAAATCATAGCATAGTTTATGTTCTTCAAAGTACCTTTTGATATTTCACTATTCAAAATTCATATTGGATGAAAGCAACATATGTAACAGGGGCATCTGATTATATTCCACAATGAGAACATGGTCTGTCTTATCGTATCAGTGACTACGAGTTTGGAGAGCCAGTATGTTATTATTAATAAACAAAAGTTGAACACAGGAAACCTGATATCCTGCCATTTTTCTTAGATCTTAGTTTTTAGATTATCACAAGGGAGACATAAAACAATAACTTAGATGAACTTTGTTTTGATAAGGTATCAAAAGAAAGAGAACCTAAAAGACCCTCCATTTGTTTTGTTTTTTTAGAATGAGCTATTTTCAAATAAGTTGGTGGCATGATTATTATTTGTATTTACCTTAGATAATATCTCCCCGATTGCCATAAAATATACATCAATTTTGAGTTTCAGCATATGTATAAGTGGGTATTGCACGATGATCCAACATGATATTTCGTCATTTAAACAAACTATGACACTTGATTTCCTCATCATATCTCCTAACTTCATACTATGGTGAAATAATAACATTCTATGTCCATATAATTACACATTTGTTTTTCGCATGTCCACAACCTGCTATCATGAATATTTAGCCTGTAAGTTAGAATTTATTCCATCAGTTCTTACAACTTTGATGGCTTAATTGTGGCTCTCCCAGGGTAGTGAGATAAAATTCCCTTCCGATTCAACAGTTTTGGTTCGATAATACAAACTGCAATTGATAGACAAATACTAAAAAAAACAGTCAAGTATCTGTCATTTATATGTTTTAAGCAAAACACTTAGTAGACATAACGAAAGTCATTCATTAATTTTCTAAGATGATTTTGCGATTCATATTTATATATATATTTAGAAGTAGTCATTACTTACCGATATTTATTAAGAGAAAGAGCTGCTATTTTTAATGGGAAATCATAGCATTTGTGAAAAGACGTTGTTGCTGGAAATTTTCTGCTTTTTGTGCTTGTATCGCTCCATCGTACTATTTGTTTGTTTACTTTGCTTTCGTAATTAAAGAAATAAAATCAGAAACTTCCATTGGTATTATCTTTGAAACAATACGAATCTAAACATTCATTTGAAGTTGTTTACATTTTCAATCATCATATCTTTTACCTTTTATGCTGTTATGTAGTTGAAAAACAGCAATAAAACAAAAGCGCTGAGAGTGAAAAATATATTCAACTCCCACCCACACACAACCCCAAAAATGGTCGGATCATATGAGAATACGCATATGGTCTAAACACTCATATGGTCCGGATTATATATATTTAACTCCTTTTAACGGAAAACTTATGAAACAAATTTCGAACGTATATTTAACTATATATTCTTATTACTAAAAAAAAAAGTAATTCGGAAATGATGTGGGGATGAAAATTTTAGAATCATATTCTAGCTCTATTTTTATAATGTATTGTATTTATCTTCAGCTTTTAATAAGATAAACCACACAGGAATATCAGCATTGATTGGACCATTTAACGAAGCCTTTGCACATGGTTGTGAGAGTGTCAGAATACCATTTCTTGTTACCTCAATGGTCCCTTATCATTGGACTGAATCTCCTTTTCTTATACGTATAGTTCCAGGTATAGATGTATACGGTTCAGCTTTAAACGATATGTTAATATATCTGAAATGGAAAAAGCTTGGACTTGTTTATGATCATCCACAAGGTGAGTTCGATATTTTTTAGCATTACTTTATCACTGCAGAACGGCTAACAATGGTATGTGGTATAGAAACATACCAAAACGAAAGAAGAAGTTATTTCCTATTTTAAACTCGAAACTCCCTTAAACAAAGTTGATCCTGAATATGTTTTGCTATTCCCTACAGGTTCTATTCGGTTATACTTTCAATATATCTATTCTAGGTTGGTTGCCACAGTGGTTGACTCAACGTGTTCCTCATAAATGATAACTTTCACTGTTGGTAAACACTGGCTGCTTAAAAGGAAGCAATAAGTACAAGGATGCTTAATAAGAGAGTAAAAGTCAACACTTTTATTGCCGCAATCAAGGCTTCATAGACAGTTGTTAAATGTCTATTTCAAAAACGGATTCTGCATTTACTTTTCCTGTTTAAGAAGCTTGTGAAGAACTTGTACGTTTGTTCTTTGAAAATTTCTGCCTACGTACTTCTAATGAATATTTATCCAGAATAGTGTTTTAAACGCATGAAATGAAGTTCTTTTAAATTATTTAATCAAAGAAGGTTGCAATTATCATATCAAAACTGTAAGAGGATATAGCTTGATGCTTTTGTATATGCATGCACAGTTTATAGCCAAAATATATGACTGAATGATGCCTCTCTAAAATGTACCAAACTTTAACTGTAATCTACACATATAAAGCCAAATCTATTTTGAAATTTTTTTTCAGTGCCACATATATTTTCTGGATTAGTGGATAAAGAAACTGCTGACATTAAGACATATAATATACTAAATAATTCCTCTAGTAATAATGTGAAAAGGATTTTAAAAGAGCTTCGTGATAAAAATTTCGGAAATTTTATTTTAATGTGTTCATCTAAGAATGCTGCTATTGTTCTTACTCAGGTAAGTGTACATGTAAATAAGTGTTTTCCAATTTTTGAATAGAACTGCAAAATAAGATATGACAGCTAGAAATAATCTTTAGAATCGTACTAAATAAGAAATGCATTACAAACAAGAAATGATTGTAACAGGATGCTGTTACGAAGTCTCCCAAACGAAGCTCCCATAATTCGTAATTCCCAGGGTCGCCTGACATTGGGCAAAGTCCAATGAAAATTGGTTTGGTCCAGCAAAGTTATATGCATTAGTGATGCCTGGGGACTAACCCTGTATATCATTCAAATCATCTTGGCATGACAAACCAGAATATATATGGTTTAGGGGTGGGGATCTCGACCACTTACAAGATACTAGAACATTGGGGGTAGGGGGGACCCCTGGGGACTGACCCTATACGTCATTCAAATGTTAGAGACATGACGAACAGGAATATATATGGTTTAGGGGTGGGGATCTCGACCATGTACAAGATATTAGAATTTTCTCAAATGGCAGGGGGTCGGGATGACCCCTGGGGACTAACCCTGTATATCATTCAAACCGTCTTGGCATGACAAACCAGAATATATATGGTTTAGGGGTGGGGATCTTGACCACTTACAAGATATAAGAACTTTCTTAAATGGCAGGGGGTGGGGGTGACCCCTGGGGACTAACCCTGTATTTCATTTGATGTGCTTTATCATGATAAACAAGAATATATATGGTTTAGGGGTGGGGATCTCGACCATTTACAAGATATTAGAATTTTCTCAAATGGCAGGGGGTCGGGATGACCCCTGGGGACTAACCCTGTATATCGTTCAAACAATCTTAGCATGACAAACCAGAATATATATGGTTTAGGGGTGGGGATCTTGACCACTTACAAGATATTAGAACTTTCTTAAATGGCATGGGGTGGGGGTGACCCCTGGGGACTAACCCTGTATTTCATTTAATGGGCTTTATCATTTAGAACATTTTCAATTAAAAAGATTGTGTCTATCACAAACGGTTTTCATTTGAAAATTTGAAAATATAAAATCCCGTAGGGTTCTATAGTAAAACCCTCTTTTCTTTTTGCCCCTCAAAGTACCCCTTTATAAATCCCATTGCACAAACAAAACCCTGATTGCACCACTAGACATGTTAGTCTAACATATTGTGAAACCCTAAGTTAATCTGACAAGCGGTTTTGGAGAACGGGTGCGGACAAGTTCAAATTTAAAAGCGGCGGAAGAAGAAGAAGAAGAAGAAGAAGAAGAAGAATAATAATAATAATAATAAGAACTGAGCAAAAACAATAAGTCTTCCCAAACTTCGTTTGGGAGACTTAATTAAATACAACAAATAGTGCATGATAGAGCAAATGAATTAAGAAATGCAACTCTTGCATTAGCTAATGATAATTTTAGTGAGTGTATGAGGTGTCGGTAAGAAGTGTTATACTTTTTTATGGAGTTATTCTCGTCCAATGAAAAGCGAGACTTTTGTCAGAAGAGGGATAAAAGCAGCAGCAACAACATATTCCTTATTCCCAGATTTTGATATTTTTCTATCATGGAAGATAGGAGTGTGCTGATTTAAACAGTAAGGGAAATAAAATTACAGCTTATTTATTTTAAATACGATGTTTCAAAATCTAATTCATTCTGGGTACATGTAATACTTAAAAAAAATACAGCAAAACGCTTTGATTTGCTAACAACGTCACTAACAATGGAAATTCGAACAATGACGTGACTTTATTTTCATTATGGAAATTACTCATAGTTCTTTAGATTCTGAAAAGCTGAAATGACAGAGAAATATTTTTCCTTACCATTTAATTGTGTTTTGCAGGCTTTATACCTGAATATGTTATCCCGTCCAAATGCCTGGTTAGTGGTTAATTTGGTAAGTACCTTTATCCATTGCCCTGGTTAGTTGTTAATTTGGAAAGTACCGTCCGTCTTTGTACTTGTTAGTGGTTAATTTGGTTAATTTGATTATTCATTGTACCAGTAAGGGGCTAATTTGGTAAGTACCTTTATTCATAGCAATGGTGAGTGTACCATTTATAATATCCATTGCCCTGGTTGGTGGTTAATTTGATAAGCACCTTCTTTGAGTTAGTTTTATCCATTGTCATTTACTGGTTAATTTGATAAGAACATTTATCCATTGCCATGGATAGTGGTTAATTTTATAAAACAAAGTACTTTTATCCAGAGAGACTTGTCCCCGAGGTTAGATATATAGTCTGTCATCGTCCACGTGGACCACGTGTTGAAGAGTAGGATAACGTTTTTGAAAGAAATGCACGCAAACAATAACGGGATATATCTCTTGAAAACAAGTTCCTTTACCTTTATCAATTGCCCTTTTGACTGCTTTTTATCATCTTGAATTTCCTATTAACAGAAAACTTATTCTGTATTAGGGAAATCACCAAATAATTGAAGAATTCATGAGTTTACTGATTTTGAAACTTGCATAGGTAAAAATATTCTTAGTTTGACCTGTTTTGATACACGTCTTTGCCGTCAAAAAGATTTTGTTAACAATAAATACCTTATTCTCCTTAACAATACTTGTTTATGTGAAGTTTTGCATTTCTAATAGAATTTTTTTTTGTTCAATCTTAAATAATTTGCAAACAATAAGCAACTATTTGCGCACCCTTGTATTGTGGATTCACATGTTTTATTGATTTAATCATCTTTATGTCAATCATTATTTGGACCCAAAATATCATTTGTCATTTGTCGCATTGAAGTGCGAAGTGCCAGGAAGTCTAAGTCTCAAATTGAAGATTTACAATTTTATATATTGAAAACGCCTAAAAATCAAATAATCTACAGAAAAAGATAATTGATTGACATATAACATGTAGGCAGGGGTCTCGTATTTGAGGATATTGACCTGTTGACTCAGCAGCAAATCATTATCAAAATAGGTCATAGTAAGTGGACTATATTATATATTTTTAGATCCGATATCGCTTTCAATTGAACATCGGATGATTTAAGTTTGCGTGCTGTTTGATAGAGGAAATATAAATCGGTCAATAACGAATCTGTTTCCCGCATGAGAGAGACAAATAATTCAGTATGGAATAAAATATTTTTTATGGACCTAACAGTCCAATGCGTCAAATAATTGATATAAATAAATTTCTGATTAATGTTTCAAAATAATCGAAAAGTGTAAACACAGCTTTTTGAATGGCGTTTGCTGACATTTTTATATACCCAAGTGATTTAGCTTTATACTGATTAATTTTGTTTTTGTTTGAATTGATGCACATTCTGTGGGATAATTAATTATATTTACTTAGTAAAAAGAGACTTAAGTACCTGATAGCGGATTGCGTGCATTAACATATAAATTGTCGTTAACCAAGAGCAACAAAAAAATCGATGAGTAAAATTGCTACTTCCGAGAGTTCTAAACACTTTAACTGCTACTTAACTGCCTCGTCATAATAATTCTTAAGATGATGGAGTGTTTATAACTCTATTAATAATGGCTTTAATATCTTATGTTTTGTTTTGCTTGAAGGCAGGTCACATACTCAAAAAGGAAGCTGTAAAACAAATACCTATTCTAAACATAAAAAGAAGATCGAAAATTACAAATGTGGTCAGTCTTTCGTGTGAATATCTTCTCATTTATTTTCATATCTTGATGAAAGTCAAGATCCAGTTGTTCATAATTTTCAATATTTAATTGCTATATTTTCATCATTTAAAGTATCACCAGTTAATACCAAGTCAGGAATATGACTGTTGTTTTTCGCCCGTTTCGTTGGTTGATAACGTAAGTTTTTATGGACCTCCTCTTTTTGAACTAAACTTGGAGTTCGGTATTTTTTTTTTATACTTTTTTAAAGTAGGATGATCATTTCGTTTTTTACCCATACGCCTTTATTTCTGTTAGTAAGACTTATTTTAGGTACTACACTAAGTTTATACTAAATATTAAAGAATAATAAATAAATTAAGGATTTTCGCTACTCTCCTTCAAAATAACAAGCTTTTTGAAAGACTGTTATATGTTGAAAGTATATAAATAGAGGAACTATAAAAGCAGAAAAAAATTAAGGGTCCGTGTGCTTGTTTTCGAGATATAAGCCACTGAAAATTTGGCGGGAAATGATTCTCTCTAGACTTTTCATACATTTAACATTGGCACCTTTTTTCTTTCAAAAACTATGAAAAAATAACAAGGATTTTATAGGATTTTCAAATATGGCTTTTTAAACTTTAAGTAATAAAATTATGAAAAGAAAAGTAGGGGTTAGCGGGCAAAATTTTTGATGACACTACATGGATAAAACCAGAGGATTCTGAATATCTGGCAAAAATTCAAAAACAAGAGGAGCGAACTTCCTTAATAGATATAAGAAGATGTGGTATGAGTGCCAATGAGACAACTCTCCATCCAAGTCAAAATTTATAAAACTAAACCATTATAGGTCACAAGTATGCATTTGACTCCCCTTTTTGCTGAATTCAGGCAAACCCTTGCAATATTCTTTACATATGATAATTTGCCAAGTACAATAAAAGGTCAGTTAAAGGATTGATGTTTGGAATTGTGAATAAATATAAGGAATTCGTTCGGAAAACAAGACAATCGAAAAAGATCGGACAGAGAAAGAAAATACTCATAAGTCACGGAGTTAATTGATGAGAAAAAACCTTGTAATAAAACGCTGGACGTAGATAATATTATGTTCAATCTTTGAATGTTTTAGAAGGTTATTGTATACTGTCGTTACAAGTTAAACTTAAACCGACTATTGAAAGAAAGGTGAGCGATTGCAAAAATATAACACAAAATTGTCTCAGACTACAAAAATGAATACAGAAGATTCGTTTAAAAAGATAGCCATGATTGAACACAAGGGATCTGACGTTTGTCAGCATATCAAAGGGAGTTGATTCAAGGGTAAATTGAAATAACAAGATGTTTTTTCTTCTCTGTTCACATGCTGAGTGGCTACAAACACTGTATATAAAATACCCTGTATGAATATTTCGATTAATTGTTAAAGATTAATGAGTTGACAATTTATCCCAAATAATTGCTGTAATACATAGAATGTGTAGTTTCTGTCAGCTCATAAGAAGATTTATCAAGGACTGTAGAAACTAAGGTTTAAACGATTATTGAATACGTACATGTTGTATATTTTTTTAATTCTATCCTATGACTTTGTGAATAGCTCTTATGAATTTGAAATTCTGATATTCCGAAGATTAAATGCATCTAATTGAGTGTCTTCCAATGCATTATTGCTAATGTCTTTAATTTTGAACTCAGATCTACGTAATATCGATATAGCGTTTGTTATCTAAGAACCTTACGTAACTATATTAAAAGTTTTATCCGATCTATTCTTTAGTACATTACAGCTTTAGTTATATGTGTGTTTTATGTTAAGGATGTTCGCTACTCTGTTTCAAAATAACAAGCTATTTTTAAAAAAGACTGTTATAAATTGATAGTATATAAATAACGGAACTAAAAAAGTAGAAAAAAATGAAAGGTCCCTGTCCTTGTTTTCGAGATATAAGCCATTGAAAATGTGGCAGGAAATGATTCTCTCTAGATTTTTCATACATTTAACATTGTTCACTTTATTCTTTCAACTACTATGAAAAAATAACAAGAATTTTATAAGATTTCGAATATGTTTTTTTTTAACTATATGTCATAAAATTACAAAAAGAAAAGTAGGAGTTGGTTGGCAAAATATTCATTGGCACTACATGGATAAAACTAGAGGATTTCGAATATCTGACAAAAAGTCAAAAGCAAGAGTATCGAACATCCTTAAAACTGGATCAATAATGTACATAAAATAGTGATGATTCATATCTGCTATCCTATGTACGACAACCGTCCATCTTCTCTCTAGATGATACTTTGCGTGTTTATAGTGATTTGGAATAGGCCTGTCTTTCCAGTATAATGATATTATATCTGAGCAAGGAGATCCGTCAGCGTTAAATATAAAATAATAAGGTAAAACATCCCTATACATCATCTAGGGCCGTTACATCTGTTAATATTAATATATATATATATATATAAAGATTTAAATGGTACAGTTCAGTCAAATTCTCAAGAATTAAAACGGAGATTAAGTTTTGTTTTAAAACTTTACTTTTTGAAGAATCTGTTTTTACATGATAAATATAAACTTAAAAATGTATCCTCAAGTTGGTTAAGATACTCATAACGACATAAGAACACGTTTAAAATTGATAAGATGAATCAATTAAAAGAAGGGGATCAGTTGTATTGAAATATTGAAATAGAATTTCTGGATTCCTCATCTATAGAATTAAAGATTGACATCATATTTAACATGCTTCTAACAGTATTGGACCTACCATCCTACCTAAAATAATATGCGAATAACATTTTTGATTGTGTAAGGCAACGAAATACATTACTGTGTAGTCATGGTAATACAAGCCATCTCGTCTAGATGATTGTCAATTAAACTTGATTTGAGGGCTTCGCAATAAAATTTAATGCAATTGCAGACACGCACAATAATAAAAACAAAGTAATTCTTCATACTACTTATTTTTGAGTTTGGAAGACTTCAGAACATATGTCTATGCTGTTATTCATTATGTTTGATTTAGAATTAGTCCTCATGTTACACAAATCTTTGTGTCTGAGTGTTAATAAAGAATTGAATTAAATTAAATGCAGACCAACAACTTATCTAAAATTAACTTTATGCTCATTAAAATGTTAGCTTGAAGGATTCGGAGCACATACCATGTTGAACCGTCTAAGCTGAATCCAATGTATACGTAATTTGCCGATACTTTGGATTTTGATGCAATTGTGTATATATTTAGAAATCTTTGAACTGCATCTAAACATTTTTAAAAATATATATCAAGCATTTAAACTTACAAAAGTACGATCAAATTAAAATTTGTGAAATATATGTATAATAATTACCTTAACGTTTATGATAGTATAATTTGAGCTTGTAAGTCTTGACACTACGTTTTCTATGCAAACATATAGACCATCTCGCATTAACGTTTATGTTCAATTAGATGTTCAGCTTTGAAAGCTTAGGAATAAATGTTCACGACTTCATATAAACCATTTATCTAATTTTGTAGGTCTTTGAACCGATTTCTATGGAGTCGAGGTCATGCAAACCATCTAAAGTTTTTTAGTTGAGTGCATCGAAACACTTTTTTCACACTCACACAAACCATATATCCTTAATATCGATTTTGAGATAAAGTTTTGGAGTGCTTTGAAGCACTTTTTATACAGTCACACAAATCATTTACCTATACTTTAATATTCATTAAACTTTGGGCTAGATGAAATATTGGACTAAAGAAAGTTTTTATTTTATACTAGTAAAACGATATGTTTGGTTTACGTCAACGAGACAGCAACCCAAACACCTAAGCTATGTTGATATCAACACGGTTTTCAACAACAAGAAAAATCCTTTTACATCCCTCCACATTCGGAAAAAGTGATGATAAAATTTATTTGATGATCTATCAACAACTTATTCTAACAAAGGACAAAAAACATAAATAGAAGTAATAAAGCAACCGACACGGTTCTTGAACTGGGACATGTGCATAAAACGTGGAGAGATTAGACAAGATGTTATGTTACCCAACTCCCAACTTTTTATTTTGTTTGGTAAAAGACTAAAGTAAATGTGCAACGAATTTCAATAATAAAAATTAAAAAAACAAAACAAAACATGTTTCAAACTACATATAATCAATTTGAAGTGCATTCCTCAACGCAGGCGAAGCGATTTAACAGCGTAACTATAATCTCTATGAGCATATTCATGGAGAAAAAAAATTTGAATGAAAATCCCTAAATTATTTTTGTGATCTAAATTTAACTTTCCTTCTTAGTATTAAAGTTTGACATTGACCAAATTTACATGGAAAATTAGTACTCCAGTAATTTAACGGGCAACGTGATGTTGTTTATCTCATACATTTGTAGTGGATTTGTGCATGCAATATTTGCTCATTTTTAACTCAGTTGCATATGTTTCCAATCACTTTTCCTAATTTATTGTTTTAACTGTATTTAATGTGGCAGGTACACAATCAAGCGGACAAATAATTACATTAATTTTTGCGATTAAATCAAAATTAAGTGAATTTGTACAATTACGCAGTAAAATGTTAGTCAAGATAACACATTTTTCTTGTTCGTTCTTTTTTTGTTTCATTATTTAATTTTCTATTGCTTTTAAGCCTGAAAGTGACAGAAAATCGATCAGAGGAAACTGCTTTTGGCATTTTCTCCGACAAAATGTAAACTGAATTTTTGGAAACTGTTTAAGACGTTTGTTTGTACAGACTTCGATTGATTTCTATTTTTATTGCCAAGGTAATGAATGCGTGGGCTTTACGTTATGTGTGCATACTCATACTGTCAAGGCGTTGACATATCCTTAATCGGCAACCCCTTCATATCAGGAAAGATTCACTTGATAATCAATTACAACCTGATTTTCACCCCAATCTCTAAAGCTTGAAGAATCTTTAAAATATATCTTTTGGAACCTTTATACTATTGCTCTATATTTTTAAAATCTTCTATATGTCAATTATGTCACCTGTTTGTTAGTTTGCAGATTTTTGTCCTAGTGGAATTTTTGGACGATAAAAGCTTAAGCAAAACCAGGGATAATACTACTTACCTTACAATATCACAGTATGTTTATCAGAACTGACATCAAGATGATTCCAAAGTCATGACGATACATTATGTCCATGATCCGTAAATAACTTTTTTCCATTTGTTTTAAAAATCTAAATACGAAAATTTCGAATATATTTGGACAAGGAACGTATAAATGTCAGCAACCGTATGATTTATAAAGCTGGAAACAAACGTTCACTTATATTGAAATATAAAAGGAAGATTGGAATGATGTTAAAAATGAAAACAGAAGCTTACATGAAAACATATTTTCATAATGTATATATTTCAAATAACATTATCTTTTCTCTCTCTCTCTCTCTGTCAAATGTTTGATTTTTTTTTTACTCTCAGTCCGTTGTCGTAGACATTAGACATACAATCAATTGTCTTAGCTTTTTTCTATACTAAAAATAATGGGGTTAATTATATCTAGAAGTATTCTCAATATTTACTCTAAAGATCTTAGATAGTTTCTTTCTTTCGTGAGTCAATTTAAATTAAGAAGTCAATATGAAGGGGAAAATCATCAATTGATATAAAGAGTTGTTTAATTCATGTTCTCAAACTATTCCTTCAACAGTCAATACAATACAACGAACGACCTTACAGCTAAAACAACTTATTAACTGCGAACTAAATTAAAAGGTGTGTTAATTTGTTTGCTGTTTTAAATTTCTGTGGAATTATTTTCACTTAACATGTATTTTAACTTGAAACAATTTTGTTTGACATCTTCTTACAACTGAAATCTTCAATGGTAAAGAAACAAGAAAAGCATGTTAATTTGAACCCATAAATAAAAGTCTTCAATTGTAGACATTTCAGACTACATTTTCGTTGATGTATTTCTTTTTGTTTCGTAATTTCATTTGTGAAATTGCTATTTAGTCTGTTACTGGCAGGTAATCGATCACTAGAAAATTCCTTAGGTACTATGTAGTATTTCCCTTGAAAAGAAAATTATCAAATTTGTAATAAAACGTTTTTAAAAAAGGTTCAACTTGGTAGTTTTGCATATACAACAGTACAAATTATAAAACATTTTGACGACTAATCTAATCTTATTTCAATATATATCAATCATACTTAAAACAGTCATAGTTTATCTTAAAATTTAATTGTTTTTTTACATTAAACAACCGAACATCGGACAAGGGATAAAACTGCACACACTTCAAAAAGAAGACCCTTCTCAGCAAACAATTACATTTTAGTTTTCAAAGTAGGTTCAGAACTTTAAGATTAGTATTTATTTGTATAAAAAAAAAACCTAATCCCATTCTATTCCTTACTTAAACTCACATTTATGATCCTCCTCCCTTTTGATAAGTTATTCGTTTACATGTATAACTATATACAATTGGGAATACCTGTAAAAGTGAAAACATTTTTTTAACAGATTTTATACAAATACAATAGAGTATGCACCATAGTTAGTGCTACATTGAATCAAATAAAACATTTTTTGGTAAATTTCAATTTAATACATTTTGTAATTACATTGTATTGTTTGTTCTGTGTTTCATAAAATTTAATGTTATTTGCAATTCTCATGGTCAATTTATTGTCAACTTGGAATCCTTGTTTGAGATAAATTTCAAAGTTTGGCAAGCATCATATAGTGCAGCCACACTGGGTTAATATAAAATATCTTTGTTTCATTACAGGATGCGGATACAGTTGCCTTAGAGCAGTATGAAGACTCCCGTGCCAATCTTACATCATTGCTCATTGTTATGGAGAGAAATTCTCGATCATGTGCCTTACAATCAAACAATCTTACTAACGCTGTCTTCTACGATGCAATGAACGTCTTAACTAAGTTAATAGATCTCAATAAAAACTCATCTCGAGTACAAATGAGAAAAAATTTACGAAAGGTAAGTCCAGATAAATGTACAACTTACATAAACGTGTAAGTTTCTCAAAAGTGTGATCTGATGGGAGTGTTTAACATCCTATACAGCAAGTTAATCCTCTAAATCGTTGCACTGTACTTCTTAAAAGTCAACAGATGAAATCTCAAACGTCATCAAGAAACATTAGGTATTTCATCAAGAAAATATTTCAATATTTTAAGTCTTGTTTTTTTTTGCGTTCTTTTAATTTTTGTTCTTTTTTCCCCATTATGGATTTTGAAATAAGATTTAATCTTTGACAAATTACAACTTCACATAATTACGCTATGCGTTTACTTCAAGTTTACAGTTGAAAACAATGTTAGGATGCTATCACAATATTGTGAAAATGTTTTGGTATATGTTATGTAGCAGGAAACATAAATGTTTTCTTTTTCCTTGTAGCATATAATATCTATTAGAATACAGAAGATTCATTGTTATTGAGATTTTAGTCTTGATCTCTGAATTGTTATAACATAAAACAAAACATAATACATTTTTATTTACATGATGAAACCATGATGTTAATTGTGAAATAAGACCAATTACAATTCTCAGTTCACGCTGAAAAGACATTTAAGAAGTAATCGTTTTCTTTGCGATACCAAAAATATCTTTCACTCTACAAATATTATTGAAAAGAATACTGGGAAAAATTAAAGTGTTTTGTAACATGCTAGATATTGCCAGGAGAACAAACGCTTGTAAATATCAATGACATCAGTCTAGGCCAAACATAATATTGGATTTCAAGAAGAGCTGAACATGATGGTATAAGCGCATCGATGTATGACAAGCCGTTTTTAGATTTCTTCCATTTTCAAGATATATTATAAACTAAATAAGATATCTTATAAACTAAATAATATATCTTATAAACTAAATAATATTTCTTATGAACTAAATAACATATCTTATAAACTAAATAAGATACATTATAAACTATAACATATATCTAACTTAGTTTAAAAAAAGATATCTTATTTAGTTTTAAATATATCTTATAAAGTAAATAAGCTATCTTGTAAGATGTTTTACCAGCTTCAAATTGAATAAGATATATCATAAAGAATATAAGAAATCCTAGATACTTTATAAGACATCTAAATACCTTCTTAAGATATCTTCAAATTGAAAAAATATAAAAACGGCTTGCCATGCAACCCTGCACCGGTACCGTCATGTTCAGCTCTTCTTGAAATCCCATATCATGTTTGGCGTGGACTTAAATTAAGTTGGTAAGATTTCATTTCAAATGCTTTGCATTTTTTTATGCTGGGCCCTTTAATAAACTATACTGTATATTTAGCTCATTGGTGAATGCCGCACTGTGACATGAAGTGGTTTACATCCTTTTCCTTTGGTCTAAGGTTGACAGTTGTCTTATTGTTAATCAAACCACGTCTTCTAATTTGTATATCAATATCTCTAGCCATGTATTATGTATTACTTATTATAATCGACTTCATAATGTTTGGCCCAACGTTGACAAGTTCGACCCAAAATTATCAAATCTACTAGCTTGTTAACAAAAAGTAATACTTTGTTGCCATGATAAAACACAATTCGATAAAGCAACAGGAAAAATTATTTATAATGTCCTTGTTAGTAAATTTAAGGCCATAAAACTCTAAAATCATTCAAAAACCTTAGGTTGTTCTACTCCGGCACAGATTTGGCACAACTATCTAAATTTTACCTTTTCAATGCTGTTCATTTTCGTAGATGATTGGTTCTATTTTGGATAGAGCGGCAAAGATGAATCTTTTGTAGTCGATACAGGCGTCTGGCGTACCAAAGTATAAGCTTGGTATCTTTGATGAGTTTTTGTTATGTTTGCACATTTCTTTGGTATATGTAATACCAAATTAATAAAGGTGGTAACATGGTGATTTCAATATTTTTTCTGCAAAAGTACCAAACATATTTAATATTTAAACTTTCATAAAATGAAAAAAATAATTTTAGATAAGAATAGACGGATGCACTGGTCTTTTAGAATATACCAAGGTTGGTCTCAGAAGAGAGACTTTCTTTCAAATGAACACACTTTCAACAGTACAAAATGGAACGGTACGTAAAAAATGTATTTCATTTATTTCATGTGACCTACACAGTTTGTATTGTTATTGTTTTTATACATTGTTAGATTTAGAAATTCAATATATTCTCATTACAATTTCAAACATATACTCATTTAATGTTCATTATGATTAAGGAAAAACGAAATAGGCTAACGTAGAAGAAAATATTAAGTAGTTTACTTCATGCAATGTTTTTTTAATAGTGCGCTTATTTCAATGGTAGATTATGATGTGGTTTTTTCTCGCTTCTCATTTAGCCATAACACGAAAGAAAAAGAGTGGAATTGCATTTACAGGAACGATTTACCACATACATATACACCTTATCTAGGTATTCACCTATAAAAAAACCCCTCCTTTTAGTTTAGATTGTTACAATAGATTACCACACGAATGAAAGTTTCACCATCGACGTCGTCTCGGTACTTATTTTCCATTCGTACCATAATCGACCACACTCAACAGTATATTGGTAAGGAAAGAAAGTAACGATATTTGCAAATATAGTCAAATCGTAGTACAAATGTCGGTGTTGTTTAGTCTGAAAGGTTGCCATATCACTTGAATTACATGTATGTTAGGTTATTTATGAACTTTACATTTCTCTATATAAAGAAGTTACCCTTGCTTTTACAGTGTACCAAACTTACCCACAATGAAACATTATATTCTTTAAGCTAAATGATTCAACAGAACCTTTCAGAAATAAAGTTGTAAAATGTCTATTATTTAATTCTTAACTTCTTCTAGATTCTAAAGTTTATTGGGAAGCAAGTATGTCCTGCGAGCCAGAACTGTAACATTTCACTCTGCACTCAATTATATAAATATATATATCCTATATTATACTAATAGCACACTTTATAATCACTATGTGGTAGAGGCTAGTCGAAATAACGATTGATTAATGTTTTCTCTGACAGTTTATTTGTGTATTTTGGATTGAGCGATGCCATCATATAAGTCTATTAGAAAAGTCATAAGTCAATCGTTTTAACGATTACCACCTTCCTCATGTGATAATAGTTTATTTTCAAACTTCTCTCAATCGTTGTATGAGATTATGTCACGATAGTATTTCTAATAAAAGCACTTGCATATCATTGCAAATATTGTTATACTTTCAAACTTTTTTAACACATGATGAACAGTTGTTATATACTAAATCTATTACAAGTGATGCTACACTTGTGATTTTTGCATGCAGATTTTAGAGAAGTATTGTTTTTTCTGTTAAATGAAACTTAACTTTATTTTACATATCTTTATGTCTAAAGTCTACTCAGTTGTAAAATGTGAAATAAATCATGAAATAGAGTTCTTAAAAACCGCATTGCAATATAACAGTTACAGGGGGTACGGTTAAGTACTTAATCACATTTTCTAACAGCGTATCAAATCATAATGTCACTGAATGGTGATTTCTTTGTATTAACCTTACCATTTGCAAATGTGTCCGTCTAAAATCAGAAATCTCATCAGCGGTTGGCTGTACTTGTATCTTTTCGTCTTTTAATGAATTTTGTGTTTCTTTTTGTCTTTTTTAGAATTTGGTGTTTCTTTATGCTCTTTCATTAAATTTGGTGTTTCGTTTTGTCTTTTAAAGAATTCTTTTTGCTCTTTAGAATTTTGGTTGAGGGTACATCTTTGTTAGTCTGTGATAAAATTTACAACTTTTCTAGCTAGACCCAGGGATTTATAGACCTTGACATATGTTACATATGTAGAGACAATCGTGTTTTGTTAAAGACAGACTGTTGAACTGTAGATTTATTTTTTTAGATTAATCGTGTGTCTGGAATGATAAAATTCACAACTTGTTTAGCTAGGCTCAGGGATTTATTGGCAATCAAATATGTTCCAAAAGTAAGGACTTCTTGTGTTGTAGACAGACCGTTGAACTGTAGATTTATTTTCTCGGTGTATTGTGTGGCTGGATTGTTTTCTTGTTGACATATATTGTTAATGTATATAACTGAGCTAATATAGTCTATAAATATATTTTGTATTTCAACATGGTGCATTCGAGTTCATTTAATTCATTCATCACGAAAAGTTCATTTTAATTCGGAACTCGCTATAATAAATAAAAATTTGAGATGTTGCAATATTGAACATTTGTTTTTGTTAAAAAATTAAAGAAAGAAGGGAAAGAAGTGCCTGAATATTTCAAAACATTATTCTCCGAGGTGAATCAGTTCTCCCTTATTATTACATTTTTGAGGATATTCTACATTTCATTCTTGCATGTGATTTCCATTTCATGTTATTTTGTTCTCTCACATTTTACTAACTTCTTGATTAAAGACTACCGCATTTTCTTGTTCAACATCGATGTTAACAAGTACACTTATGAAAAAGTTTTAGACAGTAGAAAAATTTAGGGAGTATTTTTATCATTACTAACGTTGCACACACTTGATTTGTACACCTTATGAGTTCAGTGTTTTCAACAATGAAAAAAAAGTTAAGAATAATTTGTTTTAGCTTTTTTTCTGATATAATGAAAGATTTATGTAAAGTGGCACTACTTTACTTATATTTAAGTACATGCATACCCTTCTTGGTATCTAAAATGACTAATAAATTAATGCAGTATGAGAAAACACACTGTCAATAATCTACATTTCAATGAGTGTTTCCATCTCATATTCCTCAGTGACTTGAGATTGAGGATACTACAGAAAGAAAATTTTGATCTTCTCCTTGATATTGACACAGATGGACGACTTCAAACTAGAATCTATGAATCAACCCTCAAATTATTAACTTCTCAATTTCTCAGCAGCAAAATACACTCTGCTCAATCGTATAGTGTTTACATATGTCATTTCAAACGTTACGCTTGTGCATGTTCACACTATACGAACTTCATTAAGACTTACACAAAATACTGCTCCAACAGAGTTATTAGTAAAAACGACTGAAATCGACATCACATAATGTTTGACTGTCATCATATGCATCACGAATTGGTTGACCAATACGATGTGAAGGTGTTTCAACTCACTAGCGACATATTTTCGTGGTCTAGATCTTTAGATATCAGTGTAGTCATTTGATCTATAAATTAACCGATTGTATACTATTCCCGATTGTGATATTTTTACTGAGTGTGAATTCGCATGGCGAGTGATGCATGCATAACAGATGACGCTTACACTGTCGACTCACCCGGTCATACGATTCCCTCAGGTTTTGTAAGTTACCTTGTTACCAGTTGTCTCTGTTTAATCTATTTACGAGATTTGAACATCGGTCAACTACTGTTGGCGTAATTCATAGCGTTCATCCTTACAATTATTTTATATTGCATTGAAAAACATTAGATAATCTATAAAGAAACAACATTTCTGTAATAACGACTCCTCTTCCGGACTGATTTCTTTTTTTTTAAATACGGTTTTTGGTTTTTAGCTTATGGAGATAGGTTTTACATTCATGGTGTTTGAATTGGGATTGCTTAACTTTAAAATTGATACATTGATTGATAGCTTAGTATAATAATTAATTTAAGACAGTTCATAAATCAATATAAAATATTGAGTTAATTATTAAACGCTCGCAACTATATGTTTTGAGTTACAAGATAAAGCAGTTTCTTTTTTAAATATAGTTGAATAAATATAGAAAGCTATGTTGATTATTGTTACGTACTTCATGTAAAATACTAATGAACATACACTGATTTTTTCTTTCTGTTCCTTCGTCTTACAGAGTGCTTTATTTCAGTCAGGAACGTGGCGTAGCGGGAAATATTTTATGAAAGATAGACTATTGCCGTCCAAGTCATATCAGACGATGATGAAAATGAGTAATGACGTCTATGGAGGGAAAACAATGATTGTCACTACAAAAATTGTAAGTTATTTAGCTTGATATATGATGTTTCGTCCCAGCGGGTATTACCAGCCAACGAATCAGTACTTCTGTACTGACATGAAATATATCAAATTTGGATATTCTTTGTAAACTTACTGTTAAGGTTCATTCGAAGGAATTAAAAAAAAATATGGCAAAATTTACTCTGAATACAGATATACCTGTTTAAGTGAGAAAGTTTTTAGACATGACAGGAACTAGATAAACAGATAACAAATGAATTTTAATGTCTATAAAAATTCAAAACTTACCCCGATTTCGTCCCGCAGAAGGTGCCGAAATAAACAAACATCTTTCATTTGATACATTACACTTATTTACACAAACAAACACCTTTCATTTGATACATTACACTCATTTACACATTTGAAATCGACTACTGTTGTACAGGTATCAATTGTCCATCCATTCTCTATGACAAGCAAAACAACTCACCTATATTATTACAGAGAACATCTCAAACATTGTTTTCAAACTTAATTTATTTTGGCACCTTCTGTTGAAAAAAAAAGGATTCTTAAAATCCAAAAAAGTTTCTGAAACAAAAAAATGCATATAAAATTAAATTATCTAGTTACTTCCATGCCTTAATATGTTTGTCTGTACTCAGAGACAATTTTGTTATAAAAGTACAGGGTGTTTGCAATGTCACATTTATATTACATTAATTTATCAGTACAAATGAAAATCAATATACTAAAGATAGATTTACATCCAACTGACGGATTGCAAACATTTTCTTATCTGATGAGTATCTGTTGTTTGAAAATTTCCTGTTCTTTGTCACAGAAATCTTATAATTAATTATTCCAAAAAATAAATAATAAAAAAACAAATGTCTCGAGTCGAGTATTCGCTGTATATGTTTAAAAAGAAACTATGCTATAAAAATCGAATGCACCAAACTTTGACATCTTGTGCGTCAAATTATCTGCGCTTATTAGCCATCAATGCATCTTGGTTGTCAAGCAGACGGGTCAAAGCTATTTTTTTCAAATAATTGCTACAATCACAGATGCAACTAATCTACAAATCAATAGCCAGCAGGGAAATGCATATTGTTCTTAGTACGACGTGAAACCAAACAGTTTGTTTCATCTCACATATTAGAAAAGGGGGTTTAAGTTTATGCATTCAGTGTAAACAGAAATTTATTTACGAAGAGATAAACCATTAATTACTTGTTGTTGCAAGACAGTAGGGCTGTTGAGGGTCAATTGGTTTAAAACCATGAATATTAAAAAATAAATTATTATTTGAATACTACGAAATATGACAAAAAGGAGACGGTAGATACTAAGGAGACATCCAAAACTAAAGACTAATCAACATGAAACCCACAAAAATACCAGGGATAAACTAATGTGTTCTGGAAGGGTAAGCAGTTCGTGCTCCACATGTGGCACCCGTCGTGTTGCCCAAAAGTGAGAACAAGTAGAATTGTTTTCTTCTAAAAAAGATGTTTCTTCTATTTTGTTACGATGAGCTCAACTTAGAGTAAACAATAAGAACTAACTTTTCCTTATATTTTAATGGCGAAGATATATGATACATTCAATATTCAAGAAAAGCAAGCCATTACAAAAGGAAATTAAGAAATCTCTGTGCTCTCATTTAGATAGCTTATTTGCCAGAACTTACTTAATTATTTGTTTATTCTCAACTTGTTTTATTTATTGTCAAGTGGATAAATATAATGCAGAATGCCTTTAAAATGAATGTTTTAACATTACAAAACATATGGATCAAAGGCTGAAATAAAAGAAAAAGACAAACCTCCAGAGAAACAGGTCTTCCAAAATATAAAGGATATGTTAAATTAAATGTAGATATCTTAATACAAATAAATGTTATAACATTGAAACTTATATTGTTACAGGAACCTCCATTTGTTCAATGGAAAAACAAAACAGAAGATAAGAATTTTACTGGTAATTTCAATGACCAACTAGAAGGATTTATCGTAAGCATACTGGATGAAATTGCAAAATTATTAAATTTCAAATACAACATTTCATTAGTTCCAGACGGAAAATTCGGCAGCAAAAAATCATATGGATGGACCGGAATGGTCAATGAATTAATTCAAAAGGTAATTTTTATACTAGAATCTTTACACAGAAGAAAATAATTTTGCACACATGACTACAACTTTGAAAAGGATAACACAATAAAACAATAAAGCAAAAAAAGACATAGTTGTTAACGTCTATGTCATTTGATCTGTTGTGGAGAGTTGTCTTATTGGCAATAATGCCATATCTTCTTCCTATTATATGTGCGGTCATAAAAGATAAACAAGTGTATTGCCAAATACGCCAAGCTTTCAATCGCCAAAAATCGAGAGAATTATGAATTGAGCATAAGATACTAAGAAACTTTTATAAAGCAACGTCAAAAATAATGCATAGAAAAATATCACTGGTATCCAATGAAGCATTTTTTTAAAAGGAACATTGTTTATATGAAAATAAGAACACGTGATATGATTTCCAATTAGATAACTCTGCACCAGAAACCAAATGACATAGAAGTTTACATCTACAGGTCACCGTACGGACTTCCAGAATGAGCAAAACCCATACAGCATAGTCAGCTATAAAAGGCTCCGAAATGGCAAATGCTAAATAATTTAAACGATAAAACTAACGGCCTGATTTGTTTTATGAATTATAGTTCCTTAAGAGCTGGGATGGAAAAAAACACTTTCATCTAAAAGTAAATTCATACTTCCACAATACAAATTAGGTACCTTTATGTATTATGAAACTTACTCAAAGTAAGATATTAGATCTATGCTGAAAATGTTTTTAATCGTGACAAAAATACTTGGATTAAAAGATGTGTACTAGCATTAACACTGTTAGACTGTTTCTAAAATTGGCATTGGATTTTTTTTCAATTCGACATTTTGTCTATCCAATATTGAATAAGTATTAGATTGGAATTATCTCAATTACCATACCTAAAATAATGACAAGAGAGGAAACGAGTCTTATTTCGTTGTTACAAATTAACATACTAGCGTGTCAAACTTGGCATAATTTTTTTAATTTTCCCTTTTCATCTCGAAGCAATGAACCTAGTATTAAGACCAAATTGGGCCCTGACCACAACTACTACTTGTAGCATTACCTTTCTATATTTCTATATTGTAGAGAGCAGATATAGCTCTGGCACCATTCCAGATAACACCTGGAAGATCTGAGGTTGTGGATTTTTCTAAACCATTTATGACTAAGGGAACTAGTGTGGTTGTTCGAAAGCCAGAACGCAGTGTATCCCCATTTCAATTTTTACTACCTTTATCAAAAAATGTGTGGATTTGTATATTCTTTTCATTCATTCTTGCTGCGTTAACATTGCTTTCTACAAGTCGTATGAATTGTGATAGACAAGAAAAGCGAATGGACAATGCGTTGGAAAGCTTTTGGTATATATGGGGAACATTGCTTAGAGGGAACCTTCAAGTGTCACCCAGAGGCATTTCAAGCCGGATAATAAGTTGTGTGTGGTGGTTTTTCTCCCTTATTGTGATATCGATATATACAGCAAATTTAGCCGCTTTTTTGACAATATCTAATGCACACATTCCTATTGAATCAGCTTCGGATTTAGCTGATCAGAGTATATATAAATATGGTACTGTTGAAGGTAGTCAAATTGAAGATTTCTTTATGCAGACTACTATTCCTTATTATGAAAAAATGTGGGCTGAAATGAGTATGTCAGGGATAGTTCGTAGAGTTGATGATGGATTTGAACGTGCTATGAAGCACAAATATGCATTTCTGTGGGATTCGCCTACTGTGAGACATAGAACTGCAGCAAATTGTAGTTTGATGGAGATTGGGAACCCGTTTGACTTAAAAGGGTATGGAATAGCACTTCGGAAAAATTCGCCTTTCACGGAGAGTATTTCATTGGCACTTCTTAAGTTGGACGAAAGAGGGGTCTTATATCGTTTAGAGGGCAAGTAAGTACATTTTTTATTGTTTTTACTTTAATATTCCTTTAGATACTTTCTTATACACTCAAAATATGAAATTATACTGAGGCTAGACATATTTTATATATATATATATATATTGTGGTGTGTATTGTATATATATAAGTCTATAAAAAGGACCAACCAGCAAATTTGATGTACTGGATGGTGTAGAATAGACGATGCTGCGCAGATAAGGAAAAAATTATGCAAATGTAATGATTTGTACAACGGTACTAATATAAGATGATAATATACGAAGATGATGTAATAAAATCGTGTTGACAAATATTTCGACTTAACAAATAGCCTTCGTCAATATCAATATTTTTTACAATACTAATTGTTTGTGTAAAATAGCTCAATAATACAGATAAGTTGTGGTCTATTGATTTAATCCCAAATTTTGAAACTTACCAAATAAAACAAAACTCAATACTTTATAGACGTGTCTGCCGAGTAGTAGTATGTAAGAATGTGTGTAAAATAATAGAAGAGTCCCTCTATGAAACTTGTAGTATTTCTTATTGATGCCGTTTGGATAAAGTACATTAAGTTCCTTTATCCACAAGCTTTCCCGAACCTGTTCGCTAGGCATCACTCCAGTTAATGGTCTGTTCAATCACTAGAATTGTCATGCGGTTAAAGTCATGAAGTTTGTGACCCGACTGTCTGAAATGCTGACTAACTGGGAGGAGTGGCTTCTTAGAGATATCACTACTATGGCCATTGATGCGTTTGTGGAAAGGCTGCTGTGACTCACCAACATATTGGAGGCCACAAACAGAACATTCTAAAATGAAAATAACATTCATACTTTTGCAGGTCACATTGCAAAATATCCTATAGATATTTTCGGTTGCCTTACTGTGAAAAGTTGATGAGTGATGCATCTGTAGGCAGCATTTGCAGCGTTTTTCACCACACGAACGACATTATCCAGAAGTACTTCTCAGATCAGACACTTCAGTCTGTACCAGCAGGTTTCGCAGACTATTGGGTTGCCAAAAAGCTATCATGGGGGGCTCGGGAAGAATCTTTGATAGTTTGACAGCTTCGGTGTCATTTTTGAGCATTGGAAAACAGTTGAAAAGATTTACAAACTATCAAAGATTTTTACAATAAGTATTGTAGAAATTATTGACAATGCCGAATGCTATTTATTAAGCCGAAATATTTGTCAACACGATTTTATAACATCATCTTCGTATAATACCATCTTATATTTGTACCGTTGTGCAAATCTTTAGACTTGGGGTTGGGGGTTATGATCAAATAAGTTATTATTGATTATCAGTTTCCAAAGCATGCAATATAAATAAATAATTTTCTTAATGATAGGTATAGAACAAGATCGAAAACTAGATTTCTAAAAAAACCAAGCTCAAGATACGAAGGGGATATTAAAAACTTATAAGTCGAAAAAAACTGACAACGCAATGACAAAAAACGAAAAACGACGATAAACAAATAAGTTTTTAAAACTCTAAAGAGGAAACTGGCGAATCCCACTAAAAACCGGGGTGAACTAAGGCGCTCCAGAAGGGTTAGCAGTGCCATCTGTTGTTGCTCTTGCAAGTACAAATCATCAGAGTCTCATTCGGTAATGTCACAGTCGAGGAAAAGAGAATAGGATTGTTGTTACGTCAATTGGAACATATTTGTTGTCATCTCTGACACAGATATTCCATAACGGTTAACAAACTCAGGATGGTGTCCGTTAAACTTTCGAAGGGACGGGTGCAATTTTACCAATTGGTGCCCTTGATTCGATAGCTTCCATGTAAGCAGCGACCCTCTTTCAAGAAAATCATCATAGAAAACCTCGGCTCTGATATATCGTATCAACTAGGCGATATATGCTCCAGATGCAGGCGCAGCTAGAATGTTGCAACATATAAATTGAAAGTTCTTAAATGGGAACCAATCATTTTGTCGAAAAATGTTGTTCACAAGCGACGCTCATTGTCAGTTTCCATGTGTGAGTCGAGATAGAAGTCAAACTTAGCAGGAGCTTTATATCGAGTTCGATGGAATAAATGCATCGTCACCACACTTTTGATTATTTTCTGAGCGCACATCATCTATATAGCGGAACGTGAAATTAAAGGATAATGCTCGCTTCGTTTTATTCTTTCTGAAAAATAATCCTGAAAAAAGTCGGTCGCATATGAATAAAGGAACAAGTTGACAAGAAGAGGAACACAATAAGTTCCCATAGGAATGTCGATTATTTTTTTGAAAAACACGTCTATTTAACAGTTTCGTAATATTTAACTAGTACTACTTTGTGATACTATCTGATTATGATGTACATGTATGTGGTTAATATTCAAAGTGGACGACCTAATGACACTTACTAAGATATCACATCGATGCAAATTTACTTGTATCTTGGATATATGTCATGTGTAAATATTTCAATTGAAAGGAGTTTTATTAAAATTGTCAAACTATGTGGAGATTTTGTGTGCTGAAATTTATATATTCCAAAGGGCCATTAACTATTTAAGAATACGTCAGAGATATGACGAGAATAAAATGTTCAAAATCTTAATGTCTGTAAGTCACTTTCATTTCATTGATTTGAGGAAATGCAAGTAAAAAAATCTTAATAGTTGTCCCATTGTCAATCATACCACATCTCCTCATTTATAAATAATTGTTTGTACCTAATAAATTGATGCATTTGTAATCCAAAGTTCGTAAATAAAGGTCCCTACTGCTCCAAAATGAGCACCTCCGTGTTAACATTAACTTACATTAATATTGATTTATAGTTTTTGTGTGATTTTTCGGAGTTTAAACTGCAATGTAAACATGCATTTTAATATCTGTATTTTGGATATATTTTTTATACAAGTAAGAGGTTTAGCTAGCTATAAAATCAGGTTCAATCCACCGTTTTCTACATAAGGAAATGCCTGTACCAAGTCAGGAATATAACAGTTGTTTTCAATTCTTTTGATATGTTTGAGTTTTTAATTTCGCCATTTGATAGGGGACTTTCCGTTTTAAAATTTCCTTGGAGTTCGGTATTTTTGTTATTTTACTTTTCTTTTGTATCACTAACGATAAACGTTAAGAAACGGGAGATCTACTACACGTGTTGTTTATGCTACGTGCATGAAAAATCAGTTCAAATACACTACAAGTGTTGTGTATGCTACGTGCATGAATGATCAGTTCAAATACACTAAGTATAAGTCAAATGAATGCTTTGGTCTTTTTTAGCTTATGAAATAACTGTAGGTATTATCTTTGTAGCAGCATATATCAAATGTAGGTTTATAATAACTTGATCGAATAAAATCGATACCATACTGAAACGTTACAAGACGACACCATCATTCAGTCTGTACACTCTATAAATCAAGATTACAGCATGAAGTACATATCATCCTAAGCAATGAAGAGTTTTGGTGGCTCCATCACGTAACATGCAAAATCACTTCATTGCATAACATTAATAAATCTAATTTTTATCATGACATCTGAACTGTTCACTACTGAAGGTTTATTGTCTATGAATTATTTAAGGAAATAATTCATTACACAGAATAATTAAACAGATGTGTATGTTATATCTATACTACTAAAATAACGAGGTCCAATTTGTTAGCTGGCATGACGTAACAACAACGAATCTAAGAATTCAACTTTATGTATAACTAATATAGGACAATGGTGTTGATTAAAAATTATACCATTCCAGACCCTAATTTTCCACATAATTAATATTACCAATAATTAACAAGTTCCGGGTCGAATCCGATACCGATACCAACAGTATATGTCACATGTAGTTTCCGGTTGAAGTTACCTGTTACCTTCTGAAAATACTAAAAATCAAGGCTAAAAATAAGACAAAGGTACTTTAATTCAGTCACGGACCCGCGATGTCGTGGGTGTGTTCTATTTTTTTTTTAATAACATCTGTCAACGCAAACATAGATAAGTTATATATTCCTTTCGTTACGTTCTGTTTAAAATGTTGCTACACAATAATGACTTTTACTTTGCTTGAACTGATACGAGCAATAGTTCACAGCTATTTACAATGCTTGAACTGATACGAGCAATAGTTCACAACTATTTACAATGCTTGAACTGATACGAGCAATAGTTCACAACTATTTACAATGCTTGAACTGATACGAGCAATAGTTCACAACTATTTACAATGCTTGAACTGATACGAGCAATAGTTCACAACTATTTACAATGCTTGGATTCTGATGCATTTATTCAATTCGAGCGTTCAATATACATATCATTTGACTGTGCATTTAAAAATTTAAAGTCAAGCAGAATTCTTGCTTCAATAAATAACATGTTAGTTTTATGTTTGATATGATGAAAATATCAGGCAGCATATTTTGTTAATTCAGCAGAAAATATATTGACTGTTTTACTAAGAATGATATATTATTATACACTGGCGTTATTCCATCACTAAACTATTGTCAAAGTGATTAAGTATAACTGCCTAAGTCATTTGATAGAACTCAATTTCCCCCGAGTTATTGACAAGAGCTATCTTTCTATAAAATATCTTGACATAACAATAGTTTTTACTTACTAAAACTCTTTACTTTCTAATTATGATTCTCAGCAGGACACTCAACACGCTAACGAAATATATAAAATCATTTTGTTCAGTAACTTAGAAAATGTCTTCTTGTCAAAGTAAACGGGTTTAGCAACTTAACTGGTGTCTGTCTTTTCAAATACATTTTTTTTTCTTATTAGTATTCAGGAACGGAAAATTCACTTTATATGTGCTTTATGGAATTTCATCGAAACACAAAATATGATTAGGACTACTACAAAAGGAACAGCAGAAATGTACATGTGACTGACATACCAATGATATGTCCCTTTGAAATCTTCAAGTTAAGCTTATGTTTTGGTTTACTTGACTAATTGATAAGTTCCTCTTATAATCACATAACTTAGAAGACATACTCTTTACCGTACAACAAATACACTGAAAACTGCATTGATTATATATTATTGATATGTTAAAGCCTTATGATATAAACGTCATTTTGATTTAGGCCATGATATATAAAAATAAGAAGACAACTATTCACCAGAGTTCAAATGACGAAGATAAAACCAATTATAGGCCACCGTACGGCCTTCAACAATGAAAAAACCCAATACGGTATAGTCAAGTATAAAAGCCCTGACATGAAAAATGTAAACCAATTTAACCGAGAAAACCTATAACGGCATAATTTATACAATACAATTTACGAAAAATAAATTTGACATAAATGAACCAACGACAACCACTGAATTACAGACTCCTCTTACAAATTCGGAAATGAATATGTCTAGATTTAACAGAAATCGGTATTGATATAAATTCGTGCTGCATATGTTTTATCCTATCAGTGGAAGCTTACAATATGGGCGCCACTATTCTAATGCATTCGGGAATTCGTATTATTCTAAGTCTTCTTGAAGGGATTGAGCAATATTTTGATTTTCTTATTAATCAAATTTGTGTATATGATTATGTCACTCCATGCATTTAAATGAAAGTAATCTTCATGAAATGGACAGCTCGTTACAAAATGGTATAAATGCAAAATGGTATAAATACACAACAGCTTTCATCTGCTTCAAAAGTATTTGCTTTCAAAAGTTCGTTTGTGACTGGTATATTTTATGCAGCTCTGGTATATCTATTTTGTAGGTGGTGGAGAAGACCAAACTGTCCAGATCCACGACAGAGTGCCAAAAGTAGAGAGATAGAAATCCAAGTTGCTTCAGGGATGTTTATTGTACTGCTTGCTGGTATAGGACTGGCTGGCTTGATGTTTGTTTGCGAAATCTTATATTTTAAATATTTTGCAAAAAGAAGGAAAAAGGTAATAAAAAGACGAAAAATGTAATACTCCTCGAATGAAAAATAATCATTATTTGATTTATATTAAAAAAAAAAATTAATAATCCATTAAAAAAACTGTTAGATAACATCATAAATTAATTGAAAACTAGATTTTCCTTACCCATATATTTTTATCAATTCAAATAAAAGGTGTTACCTACTAGTGTATGAATTGACTAACTGTGTGTAATGATGTGTACGAAAAAATGTTTTACTTCCTCATAAAGATGAAAATTAAATGCATTTATTACATTGGTTGCAATGAATTACCGTGATTTCCCAGTGAAATAAAAGCCGATAATTTCATGTGTCTGACGTCATATAACAATTGGTGTTGTCAAGACGTTGTCGATGACGTCGCATCAAAGCAAATTGTGAATGCGTAGAAAAAGATATAGTTCCTTACATTTTTTACTTTGATTTTACCAAAAAGCTCATTGTCAATGTAATAAAAAGAATAACTAATCGTAGAATTAAAATATCGAAAAATATTCAACTCGTGACCGAACAACACAGTTAATTAACTCATGCGCTACGCGCAATCGTGAATTAATGTGTTGTTCGGTCACTCGTTGAATATTTTTCTATATTTGAATTCTTCGATTAGTTATTATATAAACAGTTAACTGCATTCATTCTGCAGAACGCAAAATTAAGGGATGACATAACTTACTGTCTGTGAAGAGAATATCTTTAAACACGGATATGACATCCTCAACCGAGATATATTAGACAACGTATCGTACAAAAGAACGAAAAAGATGTACATGTAATTATGAATACCAAACGAAACAATATAGCATATAGAATAAAACCTATCTTGACACAGTAATCCGACATTCTGTAGTTAAAGATCATTGCAATACGGTTTTAAACCAGATATATAATTATGTATACAATTTCTTTAACATTTTTGGTCAATTATTAACATGGAATGCATGAACTCGGCAGGATATACATTTATAAATGGTAAGAGAGTTTATAGTATAAAACAGCTTGTTATAGCCGTTTGAGTTGCTCTGGTGTTTACAAATATATCTAAACTTTCGTTTTCGACCTTAACATCACTCATTAAAAAATATAACACCACATTTCTTTCTTTCTATGTCGAAGAAAGTATTTTGCTTTTTACAAAATGAAATACTTTCTGACTGATTGCTTTTTCGTTGTATGTGTTAAGCACAGTAAATGTTGTAATGGTTTCCAAACTTCATTGATAATACATTTTGTTGGACAGTACAATCCACTATGTCAGTAAAGACATTTAATTAATGCACATAAAAGGACGTTAAATCCCACCTTAAGGGTACCCAACACTTTGAGTAAATTAGATTTGGCTCGTGTATTTTTCATAAAATTTGGAAAAAAATGTTTACTTTGGCCTGTTGACAAAAATATAAAAATTTAAAGAAATTTGAACCACACAATTTACCGGAATAATTTCTTTGGATATATAGCAGTTAGACACACACAAATTTCGATCATTGAGAAGCTTGGATTTTTTTTTACTTAAAGTATGTGATTAAAACTATCAGCTTATTTTTAAAGAGTAGACTCCCTTAGGTGTTATATACCCCTTAAAATAACATAAAGCATTCCGGTATGCTTCTTCAAATATCCTGCGCGGTTTTTTGTCATTTATTCCTTTAAATAAAAATCATAAGCTTTATCAATTATTGAAAATTATAATTTTATTTACAACAGCTATGTTAGAAGTTCAAATAGTTAGCTTTTGGTGAACAAATAACATCTACTACTGTTTACACTTTTAGATGTTTATTCCAACATAAATGGTAATGTCTTTTAATTGGTGGTTATCCCTGGAATAGAAAACTGCTTTATTTACATTGTACATAAAAAAACGGGGAAAATGCGCACTTGTTTAGTATTACCATGTCGAAGTTCCGATACATGTATGCAAAGACATAATGTCTATTCCATGATATGAAAAGATGACTATGAAATGTCTTTTTTTTGCTTTTTTCTCCCGACACTGAAGAATGTAATTTGCAATATATGCTCTTTCTCTTGAATATTATAAATTTTAAAATTCTTTGACGAAAAAAGGCACATTTGATGAATCAATAATAAGTCATAAAGTCATTTTGTTGAAATTCTCCTTAGTCGAATAATGTATTGTTTAAAAGCAGGAAAAACTGTAGAGGACTTTTTGAGTACTGATTCCGGCGTTACAAAATATAGTAATGCCCACGATCCTCTCACGTTTGCTAACTCATTGAATTAAATTGTAGTTTCTTATGCACAATTTACTTATTCTATTTTCTATTTTATCGTATTTTGATCTTAAACAAGATAGTCGAGATTATCCCTATATATTTTTTTTTCTGGTCCAGAAGATATCTTTTTCTTGTTAAAAGATATAGTCTTTGCAGACAGTTAACAAAATCCCGTTTAAAATGAAGCATATAATATTTACTCCTACCTGTTTGATTGCTGTGTTTGTGTGTATGTCTGTTGTTTGCGTGGGTTTTATTGTATTTAAGGAATAACATGCACAAAAATGTAGTACTCTAAGTAACTGAAGCTTGATTTTTTGAGTTTTGATGACTCGTCCAGATTTGATATTCGTTTATTTCTAAAACTATACGTTAACCTTTTTTTCAAACAACGGAGAAAGGTGTTGACCTACTTCAAATTATCATAAAATAATGGTGTCATTATTGTATTTTTTGTATGTACAGTTATCGAATACGCAATCGTCTCCTTATCATTTAAGAACAATAGACATGGCCATTGACATCAAATTCTCCAAATGGTAAAAAAATTATTATTGAACAAAAAAGTAACCCCAGACACGGTCCCTGAGTAGGAAAAGTCACATTTAGTTATGATTGGGTCAAACAAGTGTTTTTAATTAGAACTCAATCCTTTCCATTTTAATTTTGATTAATGGATTAACAAAAGGTACACATAATATAAAATCAATACAAGAAAAAACATTGACTCAATAATAATTGTAAAAAAAACCATGTATACACAAAGCAATTATAAACAACATTGTAAGAAGAGTTCATGCAGTTACTGAAACCAAGCTCGAACATAACCTGCTGATATGAAACCAAGGCATTATATACTCTTATATAATTTATTGTACTTCAGAGCAGGTCAATACAGCAGCGTCATAAGTACATATATTTTCCCTTCATTCACAACTTACTCGATAAGATGTTCAAAATAGAATTAAAAACCAGGTAAAAATTCAAAAACTATTACATAACAAAAATGATATTTCCCATTGGTTATACTGCAAATTTTTTTGCTTAAGCCCCGGTCACACCTTACCGGATAGCGCGAACGAACGCCGAACGGATAACTTTTTTTCAATCCGTTCATGTCCGTTAGACTCCGTTCTTATCCGTTAGAAGTCCGTCCATATCCGTTGCATGTCCGTATTATCCGTCGACGTCCGTTCTGTCCGGTGGAAAACTTTGAACGGACATCCAACGGATGAAGTGTCCGTTGAACGTCCGGTAATCGTCCGTTTTTTAAGGTACTCGTCCGTTCCATTTCCGTTTTGGACGAATTCACCAACGGACTTCTACCGGGCGTGTACGGGATAAAATGGATGATGAACGGATGTGAAACTGAAATGAACGGAAGGAAAACGGATAAAACGGATACGTACCGAATGTAAAACGGATAAATGCCAATTGAAAATTTCGCGTCAGAAATACCAATTATCGGTATGTCAGATTTCTTGAGTGTCATGAATGTTTATTATTCATGATGGATCTTGGACATTTTTTTCCTCTTCCTTTTCCACCCCTACCCTTTGGTGGCATTTAGAAGAATAAACTAAAACCAGTTACACGGAAACTTTTTAATTATATTAAGGCCACATGTATGTGATTTACATGTATTATTATTGCCGCCTTTAATTACCGGTTATCTTGTTCATCCGTTTTATCCGGTATGCTTCCGTTAGGTGTCGGTTTTATGCGGTACTCGTCCGTTGGATGTACATTCGACATCCGTTCTGTCCGGTACGTTTCCGTTTCTCGTACGTTGCATATCCTGTGTGTGTCCGTTAGGCATTCGTTACGCGTCCGTTTTATTTGGTCAGTACACCAACGGACTCCTAACGAATTAAAATTTTGTCAACGGAAAACTTTTTTTCATCCGTTCGGCGTTCGTTCGAGCTATCCGGTAAGGTGTGACCACAGCTTTACATATACCGAAAACAAGTGGAACTTTGGGAGGTTTTGATCAAATTCATGAAAAATGTTTCCTTTATTTTCAATGTATAGACGATCAAGCGTATTTGTGATGAACATAACGGTTATCTTAATTATTATCGCATAACTTGCATAGTTTTGTTTTATTTCAGAGTGTTGAAGAACGGGAAGAAAATAATGTATCTAACACACAAAATCACGTGGCATCATCTGCTGCTGATGTCAAAGAAGAAGAAATCCGATGTAAATTAGCAAGAACATTGAGTATTGGTGAAAATTCTATTCATAGTAAATGGGAAAGTTACGATCAATTATAGCATTAATTAAGATAATCGTATGCATCATTACACACAACTGTCATAATCTGAATTAACATCTTATATACATTGTAATTAAGCCAAAAATCACTTTTTGAGCCAAAATTGATATTTGTTTGCAAATATAAATCAAGCTTTTTGACGATTTTCTTTCTAAAACTTTAACAGGTCAACACCTTAATTATATCGGCAATTGTTGTTTAAATATGTCAAAGAAGAAAAAATCCGGTAAATAGATTACTGAATACTAATAAATATAAGTTATGAATACAGAAAGAATTAATGTAAATTTAAATAAATAATACCATGCAAACAATAAGCAACTTCAAAAGAATGTTAAAAAGGATAATTTAAATAAAACAACTCAAAGAAATGCAATGTCTCTGTGACCATTCGATATTTGCCAAACGTTTTCACATTCATTGTGACTTTTTAAAACTATTTGTATTAATTGTAGATTCCTATAGAATGTTTTTTTCAAGATTGCAAAAATATGAAGTTACACAATTAGTTGAATAAGTACTTGTCTTCCAGATATGAAAATTAAATAAAATACAATATATGTAAATAATTATGTCAATTCTACACTTGGTCTCCATATTGCTTTTAGTTTAGTCGTTCGAATAGCTGATTTATCTACAAATTTAATTTAAATTTAAGTCCGGTTGACTCCTTAATACTAATAAATAAAATCAAATCAAATTCGTCTTCAAATAATATTGCATTTATTGATTTATGAACGCATTCATAACACATTGCATATAAACAAAAACGATTATAAAATAAAAAACGATAAAAAAAAATCGCCATGGAGCAAGCGATGAACAAGCCAGCCACCCACCATTTGATTCTTTTGTCACACATGATATAAGTATAAAGCCTCTTTATTCATGTTTTCATAGCAGGGTTGATGAAAGAACAATGTTTCATTTCATTTAATTATAATTGAGATTGTTCTATGAAATTTTAATTCTCTTTTTCTTAGACTGCAACATTTAAACATTTGGCAGTCGTTAACTAATAATGCCTACTTGAATGTTTAGTCGAAATCTATTGATTTTTTTTTAGAATAATATACAATACAAACAATCATGTAGTGGGCAGACAAAATCATGACGCCAGATCAGGTCATGTCGAAGACAAATAATTATCCTTAACATCATAACGTCATAAAAGAACCAATAAAAGCATTAGGAATAATACAATGGAATATATAACGAGCCAAAAATGAAACCACGGATTAAGTTATACCAAATGGAATATTATAGTCAGTCCCTTATCTAGTAACCTTAAATAATCACTGGTATAGTGTTTATATATAGTGCTATATTATGGAGAGATTTTATACAAATATTGCGTGTGACAAAATGATTCTGTTTAAACCGAAGCAAACTCAGAAGTAACTTGGATTGGTGTCCGTCCATTTTTGGTGCACTGGTCGACTACTAGTATTACAAATGAGATGAAGAAATACAACCATGGTAACTTATTTATGGATAAGCAATTTTGCAGCTATTGTCAAAAACAATTTAGTAAAACAGTGTTTACTCTAAGAAATATCATGGATAATATTTTCATGACAATTTGGTTAATATTATGATGTACAAGACAACCTGACTTCCCTTAATGCTTACAAAACGCGTTTTTAATATATGCATTGTTAGTGTAAATAAAAATATCTTGTATAGGTATGCAATATATATGTATATATACATTTTATACTTAATTCAGGTCAATCATTTTCACTATTTGTTTACTGCATCATTACCTTTATTTCAAGTTTGATGTTAGAAAATTAGACTATTGTAAATAATTCAAAAATTACTTCGATTGAAGTAATATAGAATATGTGCACAGGGAATATCTATTTTGTTTTTAATATTCACAGGAACAATATTCCCCTGAGTTGTAGAAGGAAAGGACATAACCGATTGAAACATTGGAAATGAATCTATGTTTTATTTTATACCAAAAAACAACTATTTGCATTGAAGTCCCTTTTTGAAAATCTAGTTTAATACATTTTAATTTGGATTTTCACATCTAATAAAGATTCATATAAAGTATATAAAGTTCACCATAAGGCAACCATACAAATTTGTAAACGAAGCATACAACTGATTAAATATGAAGTTCAAACTATGCTTATAATACCGACTTGGGCGACAATAGTTAGTTTGATGAACACGCAACACACAGATTCGGTACGTTTCTTCACGTATTAACTTTCTCGGTATAGTGTTGGATTGAAAGATGAGTTGGTTATTTCGTTCTTTACGGTGTTACAGTTTTTTAAATAAACAATAGGAATATGAATGTCATCAATACTGGAAGTAAGTAGAGAAGATACCAATCAAAACCCATAAGTCAAAGAAAAATAGGTATCGCCATGATCGAACGATATACGCCCAAAAAGCAAACAACAGTCCATTAAACACTACACAGAAATTAAAGTGTAACAACACAAGCCCTGCAAAAATATGTACCCTGCAAGGTAACATGCTTATAAACATATGGTGTTGTATGATTCAACTGTGACTACTATTAACCAAATGATGAGGATGTTAACAGAAATAGAACATCGTACAACCATAACAAAGAGCAAACACATTTCCGTATGGCAAGCTATAAAGGTCCCGGCAAGACAAAATTGTCGCTCGTGATAAAATAATTGAATATCAATGCCCAACCCATGGTTAAATGAAAACAAATCTACGGCTGCCATGAATTATTTCGATCATAATAGGACAAATTCTGTAATTTTGTCAACCGTGAAAACCCTATACACACGATGCTGGTTTGGCTGTTCCGTTTTACCCCACATATAATAATATTAATGATATGATATTATTCAATAATAAATGAAAAAACTCACATTCTTCACCTAAATTTGTTCTTTTTTCTTTTTTTCTGAGGCGTACAAGAAGCCTTAAAACGCCCGGTGTTTAAATTTGACACCGGAAGCATACATATGACGTCACCTTGTTGAGTTCCAAAGACGATAACATCATTTCGTTTTATAACATTTTACATCGAAATAATAACTTAAATGGACCGATTTTTTATTTTGCATCAGAATAGAAATAACCGTATTGCATTCGAATTTTAGCTTACGTAAATAAAGGCAACAGTAGTATACCGGTGTTCAAAAGTCAAATCGATAGAGAGAAAACAAATCCGGGTTACAAACCAAAACCGAGGGAAACACACCAATGAGAGGAAAACAAAGGAACAACACGAACACCGCAGTGCAATAAAAACAAACGCCAACACACATAGAAACGATTTATTTGATAACAAAGAGCAAACACATTTCCGTATGGTAAGCTATAAAGGCCACGGCAAGACAAAATTGTTGCTCGTGATAAAATAATTGAATATCAATGTCCATCAATAAAACGTGGGATTTACTGTCAAAAATTGAGTTTACCTGGTTGTATAAATAAGATAGGCGTAACGCGGAACAGCCAATTGTGTGTTTCTATGCGTCTGTGCTAAAAGTAGATATACTGGTTGACGATATATAGGTCGTCATATTAGAATGTAAAACAATTCAGAAAAGAAAACCAACAGCCTGTTTTAACTTAGACATTAAATGAAATAAACAAATATGGCTGACTACAATATATGATATTAATCTTGTCTACTTTTTCGATAAATTATACTTCGTACTTTATTTTGCCAGTTAACTTTCTATTCAAGCGTCACTGATGAGTCTTTTTTTAAACGAAACGCGCGTCTGGCGTACAAAATTATAAGTCTGGTATCTTTTTTACATGTATCATTTAATGACATTTAATGAATTTTGCATTGTAGGACTTGGTACCAAAATCTTCTTTGAATATTCAAATATTATAATTATTGTTAACTGCTATAGTATAAAAAGCAACCATCTTAAGGTACATGTAGTAACATATGTTTTTTTAACAATCATATTTATTGCTCCATGAAAACAAAAGTTAAAATATATGTTTCAAGTAATGTTTTACCCATGTATACTTGTGTATAGTGTTTTCCTTATGGTAGATATAGTAGATATTATATAGTTCCAAAAATGTATTAATAATGTGTCCAGAAAAGTGCCGAATAGCGCTGTTCATTTGTAGAATTTCATAGTTTTTCAAATCCTAGTGTTAATATTATGAAGTAGTAAAGGGAGTAGAGTATCTTATATTTTAAATCTAATTCCTATGTTTATCGATATGTCAACGTTTGTTTCTAAGACCTTGTTTAAGACCCATTTTCGGTGTGATACAATTAAAATAATGGAAAATACCTCCTACAAATGACAATCCCAAAGTAGTCAAAATATCTTCCGTTATTTGACGGAACAATACGAAAACGCTTTGTATGTCATAGATCAGAATATCTCATAATGCATTGTTAAACTAATATTTACCGCTTAAATATAGCTTGAACATTTGAACATGTTATTCTGATAACCTCTGTGAGTACAATGGTATACGGAAAACAATAATAACAAAGTAACCCTCTGTCACAGCGATACTGAAACACGTGGTTTACATAGAAACGTCTAAATATGTACCGAATTATCTTTAAAAGTTATAAAAAGTAACGTAATAATTCAAGGAAATAGTATTCCCTTTTCAAATTTAAGTTGAACTTGCTTTTTGTATGAAAACTGTTAATTAAGAGGTTTTTCTTTTACTAACATGCGTTGTTAGCAACGTCTGCATGTTTTTCTATTGAATGAAATCTCGTGTTTGTTACTCACAAGCATTCAATTATTGAACGTTAGAAGCTGTTTTTCATCCATTTTCCTGAATTTTATATTAAAAAAATATAATGTTGTCACTATATAAGAACTTTATTTGGTAAATATGCTTTAAATATAAAAAAAAATCTTTATCGTTTAACCTTTGTTATCATATAGAAAATCAGTCAAAATGATTTTGTTCAAAAACTATATCGACTTTGTGTTGTGTTACAATTTCATGTACATAGAATTTTTGTATTGTATAGTTGATGTATGTGTATGTTAATCTTTTACATTTACCTCATGTTTTAATGATTGTTAAACGTTCTCGTGAACCAATGAACTTGCAAATTTGTTTTTATTTTTCATGCAACCATACGTTCAGGCGAATGTTTACTTCAAGAAACAATCATATCACTCATATTTTAAGACTGTGCCTTACTCACAAATGATTTAATTATGATTCAATGAATAAAGTCTTCATGCAAAATTTGTTGTTTTCAATTCATAATGGTAATACACACATCTTGGTGATCATTATACAATTCTTGATACAAAAGATTGTAACCTGGGATTTTTAAAATCGATACATTTTTGTCCACCAATCTACCATAAAAACAAGAGTTTTGGCGCAATAGCCGTTAAACAGCTATTTTCGAAGTTTTTGCTACAAATGATAAATACATCAAAAGCGAAGTAGATAACCTATTATAAGCATTTAACTCCAATCATTCGAAATTTATCTAGCAATATTATTTCAATTTTACAGTGGAAAAATATGGAATTGCAATAGAAAAATGAAGGAATAAAAAAAAAATTAAGAATATCTTTTACTTACTCTACGTGCTCTCTATACTCATATCCAACTATGGTAATATCATTTTATCGATATTTTTTTCAAAAAAAAAGAGAGATGCATGGACCTTATCTTATAATTTGATTAAAATACCACATAGAAGACCAAAAACAGCTAATGGTCAAACGTCGATTTTTCTTGGAAATTTATAAAAAGTGACCGATTTTTAAAATAGAATATGAGAAATTATGGCGATAGTAGTTTAACGATGTTCAATCATCGGACATCGATAAGAAAGAGACAAATAATGGGAACAAACAGAAATTGGGTAGATTGCACGAACTCCAAAAAGAGCGATACCGGGTGCGTCGACAGGGTTGGCGTCTCCTGCAGGTATCTACTATTGGCGTTTCACCAGTTTCTCATTTTTGTTTTGTATTTCTGACCATCCTTAGATAAATTAGATATACGAAGATGTGGTATGAGTGCCAATGAGACAACTCTCCATCCAAGTCATAATTTGTAAAAGTAAACCATTATAGTTCAAAGTATGACCTTCAACACGGAGCCTTGGCTCACACCGAACAACAAGCTATAAAGGGCCCCAAAATGACTAGTGTAAAATCGTTGAAACAGGAAAACCAACGGTCTAATCTATATAAAAAAACGAGAAAGTGGAAACACTTATGAACCACATCAACAAACGACAACCACTGAACATCAGGTTCCTGACTTAGGACAGGTGCAAACAAATGCAGCGGGTCTAAACGTTTTAATAGGCACCAACCTTCACCCTAACCTGAAACAATAGTGTACATCACAACATAGAAAGACACACTATAAAATATCAACTGAAATGGCTTAACTCAATCAAAAAACATACTAACAAAAACAAGTGAACATACACTGAACGAATAAATTTGATCTATGACACAATGTAAATACAAAATAAATAAAACAAGGGGGTTAGATGTAAAACAATATCAGAAAGACAACCATAACCTTGGACAAAATGCCGCCAAATTAAATAACGTTCGCAGGTAAATAATAACAATGTTCCTGCAAGATATACATGGAGTACGGAAATATTTTTTACAAAATAAATAATTTTGTTGTTTATAGTACGAGAACAGAAGTGAAAATTTATCGTCATACCAAACACTTATCAAAGGTGGTATATATTATAAATAGTGAGACGAGATACATGTATAACACTTAATAAGTAAACATTAAAAATAACAAAAATGCATTACAAATTGTATCAACAGGTCAAATTAACACGAAAGAACGATTTGAGAGTACTCGCAGTTATTGAAAGCTAGTTAAAAGCCAAAAACAATTAATAATAAAAAAATCGTGCATTAGAGACTAAAATCAACTAAAACACATTCTATGGATTTAGTATTTTAACGTCATGGACAGTCAAAGAAGACATGACTTGTGCAATGCCAAAATAAAAGTATCGACAGGCAGTAGTTTTGTTAGGAGTTAACCTTTTAATAAATATGTATAATGTTATATATAGATAGAGTAATCTCTATATAGAAAATAAACGTGGATGTGTATTTATACACCCTCCCCCCTTCCCCCCCCAAAAAAAAAACCGTTTGAAAAGAATACAAATTTAGTTATGTTTTAATTTGCTAATTACAAAATCGATATAAATGCATTTAAAGTAAGTTCCTTTGGGTAAATTTCGGTAGTATATTTAGAGAACTCTGGATTATTTAACGAAATAATATCATCAAGATAACGGTAGGTATTGTTGAATGTATTGACCAAATGTAACAATGACGTGTCTTTACTGAGTTTGGTCATATACTGAGATTCATAGCAATACAGGAATAAATCTGCTATTAAAGGGGCGCAGTTAGTGCCCATAGGAATACTAACTACCTATCGATACACCTTATCAACGAAACGTACATATATATTGTCCAGGAGAAAATTTAAAGCTTCAATCATATCTTCACATTTCCAGGCTATAAACGAGTTACAGCAAATAAATTTGCAATGAGATTTTTCAAAAGACCATCTATTTAAATATGAAAACTTATTCTTGATAAGATTGTGTGGAAGTGTAGTGTAGAGAGTAGAAAAACGATAACTGTCAACAGAATTAAAAGGACTATCAAAAGCACGTATTTTATCTAAAACCTCTAAAGAATTTTTAACACTCCAAAAATAATTAATACCATTATCTTCATAAGCTTTATTACAAAAGTTAATAACAAGTTCTTTGATAGTAGTAAAGGAGGTAGTTAGAAGCACTGACAGATAAGTAGTAGAACACTTACTAGATGCGGAGATAAAACGGAATTTAAATGGTTGTTTTTGTAATTTAGGTAACCAGTACATAGTCGGGACTTTCAAATGTTCGGAAGAGGCTTTAACCTGGGTAGTGGCAGTGATATGCTTGTTTACAATTTGACTCTCTGTTGAGCGTACGGACCTGAATGTAGACGAATTGATAATTTCGTTTTGAAGAACTTCCATGTAGTATAAACTGCTTAATCGAATAAATTTACTGTTTGGATTGAGATCAGGTGCGAAACTAGAAAAAAACGTACTTGATATTTGAATTAAACGTGGTGAAATAAAAAGTATACTCGAACTATAGGAAGGTGGCATACCAGCTTTGTGCCGTGTAATTATGTGTACTTGAAAAGAGAGCAATATGATTATATTTTCTTTGTGCTGTTACTTTAAACGATGATTACCGATGGACGGTTAATTGAAAGACATAATTTGCAAGCAACAGGCAAGTTTCTGAATCAATATGCTTCAAACAAGATATTAATATTTTTCTCAAATATGATTATTGAAAATCTGTCATCTCAAATGTCTTTTGAAGTAACACAGAAATATAAGTTCATAAGAAAATAAACACCCATGTGTCTGATGTGTCTGCAGTACAAGTTTTCTATCAAAACTTGAGTTTGACCAATCTCATCATGCATACAATGATTAAAATGAGGAACTTTAAGATGTAGACGTTAATGTTATATCAAAAGTGCTTCTGGAATTTGCTTTTTATTTAAACAGAAAGTTTTGTACTTTCTTCTCAACAAACTCATCATGTTATATATACATCATGAATATATATGATATAATAAAGAGATGTGTAGGATTGCTAGTGAAACAACTATCAAATAGAGGCCAAATAACGTGAATGTATAAATGTATGAGATTTTGCTCCTTCTTTTTCGGGAGCATTTTAAAAATACAATACAAATTGTCTTACATTGCATCCTCTTCAATGTCTTCCAATTACTAGGATCAGTTGTTAAAATTATCTTTCAAAATCCCAAAATTGGGACAATTAAAATTTTGAACTAATAAATTGTAAATATCTTAATATCCTATATTAAGCTTTTATTTATTTTGATGGAACCGAACATGAGACCTCAATGCTCTTCAAATTCGTACTCTATTTAAGCCTTTTTAACTTTTTTGGTTCGAGCGTCATAGATGAGTCTTTTGAAGACGAAACGCACGTCTGACGTACAAAATTGTAATCCTTGTATCTACGATGAGTTTATTTATATGCATAAACAATTTTCCAATATGATACCCTGTATGTGTATACTGTGCAAATGCATCCATGCTAAATCATGTATAGAAGCCGTAAGCTTTTTTAGATACGTTAATTAAGACGACTGTATTTTAACGATGTTCCAATTTCGTAAATTTATTAGGAAGAGACAAATCAAGGTAACAAATAAAAACTGAGTGAATCGTACGAACTGTAAAAGGAGCAAAACCGGGTGTGTCTCCTGCTATACATGATCACCTTCCATGCGAATTCATACTCAGTCAAAATGTCATATTCGGGAAGAGAACACAATCGGTAAGATTACAGATCAGACGACTTTACTGGTATCTCAGGATCTCAGACTGGTAGTTGAGACACCGATACATCGTATCGTATATGTCAACCTATTCGTGATGGGGAACGTAAAACTTATGTAGTATTGATTTCAGTCGTTCTTCCTCATACTCTTCTGAACATATCCCGATTAGTTAAGGCCGTATAGTGTGAACATGCACGGGCATAACGTAATAACTGATATATATAATCACCATCCAGTGATACTGCTGAGAAATGGGAAACTGGCAATAATAAATTCCTCACGTTTGTCATATATTCTAGTTTGATTGATTTTTGATTTTTGGTGTTTTAACGCCACTTTTAAGCACCGCTTTTGGGCTATTTCGTGGCGGCCAGTTTTTATTGGTGGAGGAAGCCGGAGTGCCCGGAGAAAACCACCGACCTTCGATAGGAAAACTGACAATCCTAGTCAATTAAGATTGGAGTCGAGTGCACCCGCACGAGCGAGGTTCGAACTCACAACCTCAGTGTTGACTGGCTAGTGATTACAGTAGTAACTACTTAGATCACTCGGCCACCGAGGCCCCTATATTCTAGTTTGAAGATGTTAATCTGTGTCAATATTGAGTAAAAGATCGAGATATGAGTCTTTTGTTGACGAACCGCGCGTCTGGTGAACAAAAGTGTTAGCCTGGTATCTATGATAGGATTATTCATATGAAGCAGCAATTCTACTTTCGGTTATATCCTTAATCTGAAGTTCACTATGATAATTGACATGTCAGCATTCATTGAAATATGTGTTAGTGAGTGAACGACAGAACATCATTAATATATCTGAAATTAAAAATAAAGAGCTTTG